CAAAAAATAAAAAATAAAAAAATTAATTCCTGTACCTGTATAGCCTGTTGTCTTGCTTGGCGTGCCCGTTCTTCTCTCCTTTTCTTTTGTTCTTCTTCAGCTCTTTCCTTTGCTGCAAGTTCTTTTTGTTCTCTGTCCTTTTGCTCTTCTCTCTGCTGTTTTTTCTGCTGCAATAGTCTTTTCATTGCTGCCTCCCCAGCTCTGCTGACTTCCACAGAACTTCCTCTTTTCCTCCTTGAGCACTGACGTCTGTACCATCTCTGAATCTTTGTTGCAGACATATTAACAGTCTTAATATAATCCTCAGCAATGTTCCTTCCAACAGGAGTACTGGGACTCCTTTTCACTTGATTCACCGGAGTTTTGTGTTTTATGTTCTGAAAGGAGTTCTCCATATCACTAAATGAAGTCTTTGCCACTGAGGTCATGGGAGGAGATTTCATATTATTTGCAATGCTATTGGCATTCAGATTAAGAGATTTCGGTGGGGATTTTGGTCTCTGACTATTCAGCCTTGCAGAGTCAGCTGTCTGTTCATCCACTTCATCTGCAGTGACCACAGATTCAAGTTCCAAAGCCTGAGGCTTCCTTGTTGATTCAACAGACTGCCTGGTCACCACTGACCCTCCTGATCGTCTAAACCATTCATCTGCAGTGTGGTCCGTCCTATGGGTGACTTCTGGAACTGCATCACTGTCTACTGTCATTGAGCTCCGGGCACTGACAGGATGGAATATACTGTGTGGACGTCTACTGTTGGTCTCAGATCTGTCAGTTAACTGTGAATTCACTGTACTTGTACTTCTAGCACTGACAGGTAATGGGCTGTTTTTGGGGAGCTGGAAAATCAAACAAATTATTAGGAAAATTGAAATAACTCCTATTCAACCATCATAAAAATTACCAAGTTGTAGATCTTGCATTGAATAACAAGATAATAAGTGGCTTTTGGATATCCCCCCCCCTCCCCCCACTGTAAACTTCTATGAACTATTGAGTAGGGCTTAGGGCTTAGCTTTTAACATTTTATATTTCACTGAACACATTTATCAATGATAAAATATTTCGGTTACTGCCTCCTGCAAAATCCAAAGAGCAAAACAAAACAAACATTAACATTTACAAGAGGCATTTCACCTACTCACCAAATCATTGTGCACTGCTTTTATGGCCCCTGTAGGTTTCACTGCCTTGCTGCTGGCCTGTTTTATCTTGGGTTGGGCATTCTCAAAGAGAGCTAAGAACTCATCTCTGAAACAAAAGAGATCCAATATAAATGGAAACAACTCAACTCATGCTATGGCAGGTTGCTTCTAAAGCATTCACATTTTTATTTGCGAAAATTTTTTGCAAGTCTACTGCTTTGGTCGTTTGTGCTTTTATGAGTTTGTGGTTAATTTCTGTACGGCGATAGAGGCCACAATTTTACAGATTTTCATCTCAAAACTTTCTGTTGATAGATGACAAACCCAGAATAAACTGATTTGATTTTTAATGCAACAAGGGGTCTGTTGATTCTTAATTCTTTTTACACTGTAATATCTGCTATCTCCTCCTATACCATTAGAGTGAGGAAATTCCAGTACTGATAGAATTATAATTAGGGATCCTTATGGGCACTTTGGATTTTCTGTAGTTGGGCTGTCCCTGGAGGGGGAGGGGGATTCTTATTTCTTTTTTACACTGTAATATCTGGTATTTCATCCTATACTTCGAAGTCCTTGCTCTGTGAGCAATTTTATTTATATTTGCCTTATTAACCATTATAAATTTTAAGCATTTGCGGTTGTTTTGAATAACTGATTCTTTGCTAAACAGAAAATAATGTGGCAATAACTAAAAATTACCTACCCTGATGAAAGTCTAGGCTTTAGCTTCCTCGGTGTTTTTTCTGTACTAGACTTATCATCACTTCTTTGACTTAAAGGTGCATTAAAGCTGCTACCTGGAAAATATGAATACAGCGGTCTTTTAACACAACAATTTAAATCTGCTTGTTCAGCTATCTGTTAACCAGGTATATAAATATGAATAAAAAAAATGCTGATAATGTTCCAAATATTCAATGACTTAAATTATCATTTTCAAAGATAACAGATCCTATTGCATAATTAACATTAATATTAATATTTCTAAGAAACAATAATAATAATAATAATAATTCCTGGCTTTACCTCTTGCATGTTTCTTCTTGGCCCCTCCAGACAAACTGCTTCCACTGCTTCCCAATCCATTAGCTAAACTCTGACAATGGTAAAAGTAGGTGTAATTTCCACACATTTCTGATAATCTTGCAAATAACAGTCTGTGCCAAAAACTTTTTAGACTACTAGCCCTTTGGGCTAGCAGACTCTCAAACTTTACTAGCCGAACCAAAAAACACTAGCCCAATTTAAATAATTCATTTAAAAAGTTTAAGCAGATGTTGTTAAGAGTTGTGGTACTATACTGTACTTTCTTATAAACCTTATTATAGAAGTAGAGCAAGTGAATAACAAAGTCAATCAGGTTAATTTCCAGTTGATGGGGTGGTAAAATTAATTAAAAATATATTTAATTCTTTTAATATTGAAAAAAAAATTTTATTTGTAATGCTGAATATAGTTACCCTTACTTTTCATATTTTTATAATACCTTTTATCCATTTTTTATAAGAAACTTTTTTGTTTATTCCTTTTCTTTTTATTGACAATGGCTCTTTTCTGACAATTTATTTCCAAATTACATCGGTATAATGTCACTTCTAATTTAAAATACATAGGTGATGTAAGGGTCATTAAACAAACCGTCTTACAATTTTTTGGGTTACAATTCTTTTGGTTATACATTTGTAAAAACAACTTTTCAATTCATTACCAGGACAAAGCATGGAGGGGTAGCCATGACATAAACTGAACTATCCCACATTGTCAAGAATAGCTCATAGGGTATTTATGTAACTGCCAGGGTCTTATTGTTTTTAAAAGGCAATAAGCAAAGGAAAATGTATTTACTCATGGATATTAAAATTATAAATAAAAAATATAAACAAAAAAGGAAATAGAATACTCCACCCCTCAGTCTGCTAGGTGGTCCTAACCCAAATGTTCTATGAGATAACGCATACATTACACTTACGGAGATAGTGTTGTTTTGACAAAGAACCTGTTGCTAGTACCAAGGAATTATGGACTGATCCAGTTTCTTGATTGACAGCAATTTGTAGTCATGATAACAAACTAGTCAAATAAAAAGATGCCAACACGCTGATTAGACAGACTGCTGCTACAAATAACTACAGTGTAGTTATTTATAGCAACTAATCAATATTCAGTAGTTAGAGCTGGGTGTGAGTTTTCTTCAACTGAGAGGCATATCATACTATCTAGAAACGTCAATTTAGAGGCAGGGGCAAAGAAGACTGGCGACTTATATTTTTGAAATCTTACTGAGTGTTAAATAGGTTCAAAATTACAACTAGCCCGTTCGGGCTAGTGTTTTATAAAATTTCAACTTTTTTACTAGCCCGGTGCCACTTTAGGTGGGCAATTGCCTCGGGCTAGTGCTTAACGTCGCAGACTGATTTAACATTAGATATATTTCTGAGTAAAAAAAAAAGCATCTCTATACTTTTACAAAAAAATGTAATAAATACACTTACTGCTGAGGTTTTCTCCCTTGCACCAGAAGCTGAGCAGGGTCTTTTTCCACCCAAAGCAGATGATGGTCTTCGGCTAGAGGAGAGGGCAGAAATCTGAGACCCAGTCAAGCTCAGATCAAGATCATCTGAATACTTTTTAGATGTCATAGCAAAAGGTCACATCCTGAGGAAAATCAAGAAGCTGGGGTAAGATATCATTGTTATGTGTGAAATGGTAAGGAATATCAATGGATGCCACAAATGGGATGATTAAATCAAGATATTATGGAATTTTGAAAAAAATTAGTTTATTCCATTTTGACTTTGACAATGTTTCAAATTCTAAAATAGCCTTCATAAAAGCAAATTATTCATTTTGAAATACTCTTAGCAAAGGGGCTACCAAATGCATTTGCCTTGTTGTCTTAGCTTTTCTGGACAAGGTCAGTGATATGAAGAGGGCAAAATATGCAAAATATTGAAAAAGCAAGAATGCAAGTTTCAGGTTCTCATCTCTTTCCAGGCATTTGTTTAAAAAGCAGGTGATTGTCAGGTTAAGTATTTCACTACAACATTATCTCTAATGCTAATTGAGACACTTACCCTATTCATAACATTTTAAGACTCTTATAATCTGTGGATACTCCTTACTTTGGTAATAAATCCAGGAATACAGATACTGTAGAAGGATTTGAACGACAAACATTGAAGTTTATGACCTGCGTACTGAGACCAAGTATCCCATAATTCCGCACTTCATTGAATTTTCCCATACATTAGAACTTCTATTTCACTATTTTCGGAGAGCTTAGACTAGTTATTCCATTAAAAAATAAGAAACACACGGTTGTGCTTTGATAATTGATAACGCTTGAAACTATTCCTGAAATTCAATTATTTTAACGATAATTTGACCTAGAAAGATGTATGGAGAACAGATCTCTTAGCACATGCGCAATTCAGTCTCAGAAAAGGCAGCCATCTTGTTTGAAACAAAGATAGTACAGAGTTGGAAAATTTTCGTACGAGTATACAACTTGTGTATACAGTTATAGCCTCCCAAGTGCATTCATAGCATGGTTCAGACGTGTGTCTCCTTGCACTCGTAGGAATGGCAGATAGGAGGAAGTTACAAGGTGAGGAATTTGATTCCTTAATATGGTGTGACCCAGTTTTTTGGTGGGTTTCATTTTTGTGCATGAGATTATGAACTGCTGATGAGTGTGTATTCCGAACAGCACCCTTGCTGCTCCTGTTATTTGTTTGATTCGTATTTGACAATGTTTCGATGTTGTTTACTAGAAACACACCCAAACAATAGTATTTTGGCAAAGGTAATTTCAATGGCAGTGACATCTGTCCTGTTTGACACTTGTCCAGAAAAAATCGCGACATCCTGCCAGGAATGATGGAGTGGAATCATTTCACCTAGTTTTTATGAATGTGAATATATTATACATTTGGTAAATAGACATATCCTTATGAGTAGTCATTTTTATGCAGATTACTCTTTGCAGTACCTGTGTGTTATTTGTTACTTGTGCTGTGTACTAAAGATAGCAAAGGGGATTCCCATGTTCTCTTTACATAATTTGTCCTTATTGGGGAAACTAAACATTTGATCACTTGCAAACAGTCACATTTAATTTAAAATAGTGTTGCTACTGCACATTTTGTAATTATTTAAAGCAGCAAGGAGGATTGGGTGTTTGACATTTTATTATTGGTTTGTTGTACAGTGCCCTTATATGGCTATTTTTAAGACTGTTGATAAGGAAGACGTTTGTTCTTATGTATCGAGAACTGTTGTAATTTTTTCTTTCATTTTGAAATGGACACACTTTGAAGTAAAGAATGTAGATGGGTTTGCTAAAATCAGTACTTCCAATCCTTTGTTATTAAACACTAAGATATTCATCTGTGAATTTTATAAATAGTAACACCATTTTGTGTGTTGGATATTTATGTTAAATAAGTTTATTATCCATACATTTTGTAAATTTAAATTATACTTTAGAATTTAATAGTTATTATAAGTTTTATTTAAATATTTTTTACTTCATTTATTTATATATTTTTTTTTGGGGGGGGGGGTTGCTCAGCTAGGTCCTTCATGCTACTTTTTCAAATATATATAGATTTTTATATATTTGAGAAATATATTAAGTTTTAAAGTCTAATCAATTCAACCAAAATAGTAATGTTTACCAACTTACAATCTTTCAAGTTATTTAAAAAAAAAATGATCCTGTAATATCTTCACTGTACTTAACCAAGAGTCAAACCTTAAAAACTGCTAAACCCATGTAATCACAGATGGAAAGTTCTTTGATACACATCAAGTTTGGTATAAATTCACCTTATTAGTGCAATATAAAACACTTGTGTATCTTTAAGTGATCTTTTTGTATGTACATAAAAATAGATTTGATTCAGATGGAAGTAATCGTCCCTCCTGGAAGCTGTTTTCAAGACTGGTTAAGAGCTTGCCAGAATCTGATTAATCAATGTATTTATTGTTATGTGCTATATAAGTGGGCTATTGGTATAGGTGACAGAAAACATGTCAGGCTCTCATAGGAACTACAGCAAGTGATCGCTCCTTGTAATTAAGGTTTGCAGCGCTTACATTGGGTTTCTGTTTTAAAATCTGCAAGTTTTCTTTTTAGTTAATTGAAATGGTATGGTGAGCTTGATTTTTTCCCCATTTCAGCGGAGATTGACAGGTGCTTAAAAAAAGTTCAAGAAGGTGTAGAAACATTTGAAGATATTTGGCAAAAGGTGGGTATGTGGGTTGGTGTCTGTGAGAATTTCCTTTAATGTTATGAATTGTGATTTAAAATCTATATTAAGCATTAAAGCTCGTAAAATATATTCATCTATTTTATTATTATAATTTTCACCATGCAGGTTCAAAATGCAACAAATACAAACCAAAAAGAAAAGTATGAAGCAGATCTCAAGAAGGAGATCAAAAAATTACAGGTAAGAACAAAGCTAGTTCAAACTGCTGATATTGAGAGTTTTCAATTGCATAGATTGATGATTCTAGTGTGCCAGCATTAAGTTGGGTAACAGTGTTTTACATGGTCCTTAATTGGAGAGGTGATTGTTAAATGTCCAATATATTTAGGAAATCTTCCTAAAATTTTTTTGATTTTGATAGTCCTTAATGGCTGTATACTAGTATAAAAATGTAAAAAAAAAAAGATCATTGGGGATATAGGGAATGAGATAATCATTGGCTTTTTCCTTGCTTTGGATAAAATTGGTCTGATTATATGCAAATACCTATTTATAACGTCCCTTTTATAACTCAAGTCTTCATTATTTTGTTGTAAGGTTTGAATAAGTTGTGCTTATTATGGTACGTAATATATTAAATAAGGTTGCCTGACTTTAAGAATGGAACTGCTTGTACTTGGCTTGCATAGTGTTTGCATGACATAAGAACTGTTAGTAGATCTGCAAAAGTATATAATAAGGATGATTTTATTATTGTCAAAAGAACAGTTTAAGGTTGATGCTTGCATGTTCAATGAACAGATTTCTTGTAATTATTATGTTAAAGTGGGTTTTTTGTGAGGGTCAATTTGCTTCTACTTTCAGCGGTTGCGAGACCAAATCAAAACATGGCTTGCATCAAACGACATCAAAGACAAAAGGTCTTTGCAAGAAAACAGAAAGCTCATTGAAACAGTAAGTTTTCATGTTTTATTGGTTGTACTAAATATTTTTTTTATTTACATAATGCATTCCAATTGTACTTCTTTCATGTTCTTCATCTTCTTTGTACCCAATCTTTCTTTTATAGAAGTTGAGCAATTATATTTCAACTTCAATTGACTGTTAATGTATTTTCAGCAAATGGAAAGGTTTAAGGTAGTAGAACGAGAAACAAAAACCAAAGCATACTCAAAAGAAGGCCTTGGTGCTGCTGCCAAACTAGATCCTGCTCAGAAAGAAAAAGATGAGGTGGTGCAGTGGATACAGGTCATTATAAAATATTTATTATTATTATTATGATATTGAGCTTAATTTCCCATATAAGGATTGCAAGTAATCATATTCCGTTATTGTAATGGTTTTGGACAGGATTGGCACATCAACATGTCTAGAATACTGATGACAAAACTTGCATTATTTGTTTTCTTCTCTCATTGCAGGTGGCGCTAGAAAATTTAAATATTCAAATAGATCAGTTTGAATGTGAAACAGAATCTATTCAAGCTGGTTCAAAAAAGAAGAAAGGCATTGACAGGGATGTGAGTATACTGGCCAGTTTGAATGATTTCCTGAATTTAATTGTGGTGTCTTGAATCTTCTGAAGGAAAGATTCATGGGACTTGTTATGGTAGTATGTTTTCTTTTAAGTCTGTCTGAAGGCATATTGTATCCTTTTTAAAGTTTAGAATCATTAGCCCTTACTCAAACATTGTGTATTAGTATGAAGTGAGACGCAATGAATGCAGCAATGTTGTATATGGTCCCTTTACATGAAGAAGGATAGGGTAAATACAGTCTTTAAGTTAAAGAGCTGTAAATCTGTAATGTTTTTAAGTTTTTGCACTTACCCATGAATTCAAATTATGCTTTAGTTTTTATGTTGTTACAGAGAGGGGAAAAATTAGAAGAACTAAAAATGTGGTTAGAAAAACACAGATCACATGTGCAAAGCTTGGAGACAATTATGAGGATGTTGGACAATGATGCCTTAGAACTTGATCAGGTATATGTGTGTTGAGTGAAGGTGGAAAAATGTTGCATTGTCTGGTGTGATTCAATAAGTTTTTTTAAACACATTTATTAGTTTATTAGAATTATAAATAGAATACACATATGGAGATGGCAATAAGTGTTTTTAAAATATTTAATTCAGTAATTTGAAATGACTTAATATTGAATTCCTTTTGCTATATTTTTATATTTTCATTACTTTTACTTGTATGATTTGGTAACTCTGATTTTTACAAATAATTACAGATAAAAGCTATAAGGGAAGATGTGGAATATTATATAAACACTAACCAAGAGCCAGACTTTGAAGAAAATGAATTTATTTATGATGATCTAGATCTTGATGACTTAGGTGAGTGGAAGGAACAGTATAAATGCTTATCTCATCTTGTCAAATAGTAGAATGTTCATAAGTTCATAGGGATAGTTACCTATAAAACAGAGTGTAAAGCAACACCAGCAAATTAGTTTAGAGAATGTGAGCAGATGAAAAAAATAATGTTTTCTATTTCAAAATTCAGTGTAAATAAGTACTAGTTAGCTTATCTTCGGTTTAGTGTGTACATACATTAACTTATGTAAATGGAAAGTGAAAATGGCAGAGAGTTCATGAAAAAATCCATGTGAAATAGTAAATGTAAAATGAAAATTGCAGAGATTTCATGAAAAAATCCATGTGAAATAAAAGTGAAAAAAAAAAGTTTGCAAAGCCTCCATTTAATATGGAAATTTTGATTTTCTTATTTAATGTCTGTATATAGGCCAGTCTTGCTGTCTTATTTTTAATTTGCACAGCTTTAGTTGATTTAAAATTCCTCAATTTCATGTATGGGGGGAGGGAGGCAGTCGATAATATTGACATATTTTGACTTTCAATTTCAGCTGGACAGCAAGTATTAGCAACATCGCCAAGTGAAGATGATGCCCTAAGTAACATCACAGCAGGGACCCCAACATCTACAAACTCCAGTTCTCCGTCACCTAGTCCAAGCTTGTCAAATCATTCCAAGGTGGACAAGGCAGAAGATGATAGAAAGAGGCACAAATCACAGACAGAGGAGGTAACTGAAACAACATGAAGGATTGGAGTTACATTATATTATTTGTTGTTTTTTTTTTAATTTTCTTATTTGACTTTTATTATTATTATTATTATTATTGTGTTTTTATTACTCTTTTTACTGGTACAAAGACAAACGTTGTTAACTTGATATTTGAAGAAATAACAAATTTGATTTTGCCTTAAATCCTCCTATAAAATTTTCTTCCAGAACTTGAGCAACCAGCGGGTAATAATAAATAGCAATCCTCCTACAACGCCAAATAACAGGTTATTGATCACACCCACAAAGCAACCTCCAACAAGGTAAGTTGTCTAACTTATTATTAAGATGTTGCTCTACTTAATGAGATAAGTATCTGATATAGGAGCTGCTTTATGCTTAAAAATGAATAAATAACACTAAACAATCTGAATTGTTTTAATATTCTATTTATATGTTTATATATATTTATTATATTCTTTATTTCAGTGTGATGACGACCCAAAAGATTAAAAAGTTTTGAAAAAGAATTTCCAATTTTCAGGCACTTTGAATTTAAGTGCAATATGAAAAAATATTTCAGTTTTTTCACCTTCATGCTTCTATTCCAGTCCCACAGAAGGAGTGCATCATGGAAGTGCAAGCATGAATCATACAGTTTCGTCCACACCCAACTCTGGGCCACTATTCAATGCAGCTGCAAATTCACAACAAAACTCTATGCCAGGTAGATGTTTATATAGTTTAGTTAAAAACTGAAACACATTATACCTGTCCTTACCACAATATAACTTTATTTTTGGATGCTTGGGTCATTTCATACCTAGCATTTATTTATGGTAAATTGAGCCTTCACTGGTTATTTTGTTTCATTGTGAACATATTTTGCCTCCTTGTACAGTAATAATCGAAAACTTATTACCAGAGACTCTCTATTTGGATTTTACTAATGACAGATGTTTTGACCAATTTTACTTCAGGTATGCCCTTACCACAGAGACCAAGCAGTGCTATGCCTCACATGACACAGGGGAATTTGCAGATACATGGACAGTCCAGTTACATTTTCAACCAGATGAATCAGTTGCCTGGTAAGAGCCTTATTGCAATGCACAGATAAAAGTTGGTCTTATGATGTGCATGTTTGATACATTTTGGAGATTTTATGCCATGTGTATGTGTAATGAACAATCCAAAGAATTTTGGAAAGATTAAAAACATTTTGTTCAGCCTTTTAACCAAATTTTATCACAATGAAAAGGCTACCCTTTCAATACACCATTTAAATATAAGATATCTTATTCCTCATTTTTGAGCCTCATTATTCTTGATCATGTAATTCTTTCAGATGGGAAACCTAATGGCAACTCTATGGATCATCCACAGCAGCAGGTGGCCACCAGCATAGCAAACATGAACAACATCTTACCGAATAGCATAGCGCCAGCTTCATCTTCTCACCCGCCTGTCTCACTCAGTAGTAGTTCTATGGAAAGTCCTCTTATACCTCCAGCCCCATCACCTGTCACAGCATCTATGAATTTGTTCAACTCTGGCCACTTAGCCAACTCATTGCCAGGCAGTGGCTCCAGCAATAGCAGTAGTATCAAGCCAGAGATGATGAATGGGCCAATGAGTGCTAATGGTGCTTTACCTAAGGTACACTACAGATTAAGTGAATTTGTTGAACTAGTGCTAGTGTATTTTTTCCTGTTTAGTAATTAGAACCATTGAGCCCTAAGAGGCATGCTCTGATTTGCCGTTTTTTTACTAAATGTGCCTGTTAGAGTTTTTGTGGTTGACTTATGCCTCTCTCTTTTTGGAAGTCAGGCTGATTTATCATTTTGTTTTGGAGAATTCTACCACTACTATTCTTGGCCTTAAAAAAAGTTAAAAGTATTAGTAGTGTGTGGTGAATCAACTATAAGAACCATAGAACATCCTGATAGCTTTATTGGTAGGACCAACAAAACTTTTAGGGCAGGGTTAAATGGGGGAAGGGTATGGTATCACAGAACTCTCTGCCTGGTTCAGGAAATGAACTCCCAGTCAGCTACTGTTTTCAAACATATACAAACAAATTAAATCATTGTCTGTGTATGTGTTTTTGGGTTTGGGGTGGAAGGTGATTGGATTAAACAATGGATTAAACATTTCAGTGAGATATATGTAAATTTGTTGTTCTGACATAACAATGGCATTTTAACTCAAACTGCAACTTTTAACCCTTACCCCAAAAAATCCCCATTGAAATTATTCACAAAAAAAAAAAAAAAAAAAAAAAAAAATTATAATAATAATAATAATGAATATGTTATACACAACCTTGGGTGATTTGATAATTATTGGGATTGCCAAGTTAAAAGCAGAGAGCAAGCCAAGCTTCTTTCATATTTAGTCTGTGATATGATAATGTGTTTATCTTCAAGCATGATTTTAATAGCTCTGCAACAGTTTGCCACAATTCTGGTATGTACATGTTTTTCATGCACCTCAGCCTAATGAGGCTAGTTGTAGGAACTATAACAATAGGTTGGAAATATCATCATCATGACAGATATTTTTCCTAGCATAGATTCTTGATATCACTTATATCCAAGCATGATGCACAGATTACTGAATTTTATAAATATGCATTCTATGATGAAAGATGCCTAAATTGGCACCTGGTCTGCCCAAAACTTAGATGTATGTTATTGCAACTATATGGCCGTGGCATTTGCCTTCTGCGCAATCTATCCGGTGGTTTCTTTTCTTATGTTCATTGTTTGCTTTGCATCCTGACCAAAAGGTCGATGTGGCAGGTAGCATTGGTAATCATTATTTTGCTCTCTTTTCTTGGATGCAAAGTGATAGTTAGTTCCTGTTTTGATCTTAAGGACTTTGTTATTAACATAGTTTCATATTCATTAAGCTTATTCTTTATTTCAGTATGATGCCTTGTCCTCATTAAAATCCATGGCGCAGCAGGCAGTGGTCAGTGCAGGATTACCAGTATCGCAGACAGTCACATCACAGCCTAGCTCAGGTAAACAGGAACTGAATGCAGATGTGTGCGCGTGTGTGTGTGGGCGTATTTGGTGAATGATTAGTGATACTGGAAGAAAAATTGGCATTCAGTGCAACTTCTTGTGCTGAATCTTGGAATTGTGAGGGAAATGAAGTGTATGTGACTGTAAGAGACTTGAATGTAGATTTGTTATGAAACCACCACATAAATATAATGTAAGATTAAATTCATGGAACCATTTTTATTCCGAATTTTTATTTTATTTTATCAGATGAGGTGTTAAGAAGTATAGAAATTTTACCCATTTTTTGCAGCAGATTCAAAGGTTGAATGCAAAGTTGTCCTGGATGCCCATTGTTTGAAGGCATTCATAAAATTTTTACATTTTTGCATTATTTGTAAGATTTAAGAAACACTTTGTTTCATTCTTGTACTCTACACCAACAAAGAGTAAACATTTCATACTGCAGAAAATATTTATTGTACTCTGATCTGTATCAGTGACAGAGAGCAGTAGCTTACACCAGCCACCACCAGCCCCGACAGCCCCATCACCACAAGATTCCCTACTGCAGCATCAGCAGCAGCAACAACAACAACAACAGCAGCAGCAGCAACAACAACAACAGACACAGCTACCGCAGCAGCAACCCCAGATACAGCCTTCTTCAACGACAACTATTCATCTGAACCCATTATTAGGAGTGGCGCCTTTAGGGCCTCAGCCCCTTCAAAAAGAACATTTATATCAGCTCGCAATGCTAGAGGCTGGATTTCATCACCTGCCACACCCCTCAGATTCTGAGAGACAAAGGTAATGCATAGTATGATATTAGATTGAAAGTGATGCTACTGACATCTGATAATGTGAAAAATGCTATGTAAAAATTAAAAAAAAAACAAAAAAAAAAAAACGATGTATAAGATAGGATTGTTGTTTGTTCTCTTTCTGTAAATAATAATATATTAAAATAATAATATATTAAAATGATTCTGAAGTTGTATAAGAATTTCACTGAGAAGCTGGTGATATAGATAAAAATGGTGTTTTGTTGAGTACCTGTTTATCTAATGAAATATCTGTTTTCCAGGCATTATCTCCCAAGGAACCCATGTCCGACCCCTACACACTACCCCCAGACCCCACCCCCACACTCAGACACCGTGGAGTTCTTCCAAAGGCTTTCCACTGAGACACTCTTTTTCATCTTCTATTACATGGAGGTAAGGACTGTTTTATGTTCACTTACTGCATTATTATCATTATTATTTTTATTCAGATTAACATTTACCAAAATACATCTGTAAAAAGGCTTGTAAACATATTATTTAATTCTAAGATTTTTCGTGAATAGCCTAATAACATAACTTCAGCTAAGGCATTATTATTTATGTAAGTGGATTTAATCATTTCCCTCGCAATTTTTAGTTTGAAGTTAATTAATTAATTTTACTTTGATTTGTTTGTTTTTGCCAGGGCACCAAAGCACAGTACTTAGCTGCCAAGGCATTGAAAAAGCAATCCTGGAGGTTCCATACAAAGTACATGATGTGGTTCCAGCGACACGAGGAACCCAAAACTATCACTGATGAATTTGAGCAGGTACAATTATTTTTATATTATCTGTTCAGTTTCATTGCCAAATTTAATTATCCATACCCATTACAGGATTTTTCCCCTTTCTTTTTTGGTTCTGTGTGGTAATGAAGGATTTGTCTGAACTAATTGAAATAATAACAAGAGAATGGTGCATTTTTAAACCTTCATTTTCTCCAAATGACACGGTAAATGGTCCCCGTTTTTCACACCAACAACTATACTGGATTTTGTCTAGGTCCACCATATTGGTACCAAACTTTAATTTTCACATTAGATTGTAGTGAAATAAACATTGAATAAAATCTTAAATGATTTAATTGAAAAATATCTTCCCACATACATACTCACAAGCTTTGTTCTCCTTTCAGGGCACATACATTTACTTTGATTATGAAAAATGGGGCCAAAGGAAGAAGGAAGGGTTTACGTTTGAATACCGGTACCTTGAAGACAGGGATTTAAACTGATGATCTCCAACTTAATAATAATAATAATGATATCTCCTTTACTGTTGTCCTAAAATGTGTAAACTGATAACAGCAAGGTCCACCTATGACAATGGTGTGTTGGGAACAAGGACTCAGAAAACACAGTTATAGGATAACTACAGTTTTGTCAATCTCAGTTAATTTTGTAGCACAGCATCTTACTTGTGTCCTGACACACGGATGCATTTTTAAATAACAGGAAAGCATTGAATACATAATTTCCACAAAGCCAATAATTCTGACATAAATATTGACATTGTGAGAAGTATGGGAATAACAGCTCTACGTTGTCATGTGGGTTTTTTCCTAGAAGAGAAACCATTGCTGTCTGCAAGTCTTTGCTCCTGTGGATAATAATTCACAGTATTTGGAGTTGAAGAATTTTCATATTGATGAGAAAAAATCATTGAGACGTAGCATAGTGATGCAATTGATCAATTCTTGGTTTTTAGTATTGTACATCTGTATACTTGTACACTTTGACCTTATTTTTGTACAGGCCATCAGAACTACATGTGTATATATGCCTCAACATCACTCGTTGTGGGTACTGGGTTACCACACGCGTTTGGTGGAAATATTTGCTGTAAATATGAGGATCACATGTGGTGATCATGAGATAAGCTAAGGAAGATAAATAAGAAAAAACTTGCTGAAAAAAGAAATAAAATAAAGCAATTTCTTGTGATATGTTGTATTTAAAAATATTTCCTGACTTAGTTTTCCTCTTTAGTTTTGTGCTTTCATTTTCTAATAATTCTGTGCAAACTCCTTACAAGTAGAGAAAAATTGAAAATCGCATCGCTATTTAAATGTGGGAGAAATACGACGTGCGGCTCTATCCGTCGTATGCGCTATTATTACCAGCATATGTTTTTGTCCCTAAAAAAGTGATTTGCCGCACCTAAGAGAATCCTGTCATGTCCTTTACCTGTAATCCATCCACCCCTCGGCATTGTTTCTTATTACTTACAAGTAGGTATTACATTCGGGTTCTGCTCCTCCTAAACTTACAGTGCACTCTAAACGTTGTAGCTCGACGGATTGAGTTCTTTGGTGAACAGGACTGTTTGTTGTGATGTCTTTATCTTCGTTGTGTCTGTTTGTCTCTGACTGGATGTCCCCACAGCCCATACCTACAGTTTGGTCGTCTGTTAGAATAGGCTCTTTAAGCACGGTGCATCCCATGCTTGTGCTGGACTGCGTTTCACTGTCCGACTCCTGATTTAAGTTACTTTTTTCAGTTGGTTCATTATTAAAACCCAAAGGAAAATTCACCCCGTGCGTTGTATTAACATCGTTATCAAGATTAAACGACCCCTTTTCCTGTGAGGCCAAAATGTCTGGTAGATTTGAAATACTTAAATCGGTGTCCCTGACTATTATTTCGATGGTTGGTAGTTGTTCTTTATCGACCATACCCCTTTCATGATTTGTTTCACAATCTTTTGCAGTCACTTCGGGGGTATATCCTTCATCAGGGTCACCTTTTCCTGGGGGCCTTTTGTGAGCTTCTTCAGTGTTTTGTCTTTTACTGAAACTTTCGTGCCTATCCTCGATAAAATTAACTGATTTTCCGTCTCCATTTTTCGACTTCTCACTCCCTGTGCGGAGACAATTTTGGATCTTGTCCACTTCGATTTCCGTGTTGTTGATCTTTTCCGCTTTAATATTAACTATCTTTTCCAGACGTTTACCTTCATTGTCAATTGGGATTTTGTTAGTTTGTTTACTGTTGTTTCTCTCAAGAGGTTGTTCCTGGAGAATTATATCACCCGAGCCCAACATTTCTTGCACCTCGGATCCATCTGTCGATAGTTTATAGGCCGACGCTCTTGCTCTGTTTAAATCATGAAGCAAGTAGTAAGGTCGGTATTTTATCAAAAGAACATGTACGACGTAAGCTACCAGCATTATCACTAAAGTAATCAGTGAAGCAAATGCGGGAATAACCGCTGCCAAATCTGCATCGGGCTGAGGCAGAGACCCACCTAGGAGCGCTTTGGCGAGAGCACCGTTCTGCATAGCAGTCGCAATAGCGACCGTTTTAACCTGTAAGAATTTTCTTTGACACACCCACCCCGTCAGCCCGCCTGCCAGCGCACCGCTTACCAACATCAATACAGCACATCCAAATAATTTCCAACTCAGAAAACGGAAAATGTACAAATTGTCATAAACTTGGAATCCTATTATTATCACACAGACGGTCAAACTTATGGGGTTAAGTGCTTTTAGAACCCTTTGCCGTACCGCTGGACGTCCATGCTGTAAGAGTCCCCCTAGGACTAAAGGAATGGTAACTAGCACCAAGGGTAGCAGCAAGAAAGTAAAGGAGAGGTTGGCGTACGTGATGTCGCCTCCAAGGTAGTCTTTGAATATAAACACCAACAATGGCAGTGTGCCTGGAAGAGAATTGTCATTCATATTTATGAAATGTTTTTGGATTATTTAACATTTATTACTATAGAATTAATGAAGATTTTTTATCTGCACATCTTTTCAATTCTAATATAAGAATATGAACTAATTTCGCAAATAATGACAAAAAGAACACATGAATGTGTCTTGAATATATTTTGATTAAAAAGACTTCTTAGAAAATGGATTGATATTAGTCAGGTTTCTCGTGAGCAGGAAAACTGGCATCTTTGATCTTACCAAACGTCAACAGCGTATTGATGATAATCAAAATGACACTGAGCTCCACAATCGTGTCTTGAAGCAAACTGGCCACGTTAACTAGAACGCCCCCAGGGGACAGGCCATAAAGAAGTAGGCCTTGGCTCCAGTCAAGGGGCAGCAGGAACACATTCATAAAGGCGAAAGCAAACTGCAAAACACGAATCGCAGTACCAAATATATAATGCATCACGTCTCATAGTTTGGTTTCAATACCATTTCATGTTCTTATTGGGAAAATAAGACACCACTACTGTAAAACCTTTGATATTGAAATTTTTAAGCAGAAAATTTTGCAATAAAAATGTGATTTAACATTCCTATGACACAAAATTGTTACATCTTTATATTTTACTTGAAAGTTGATCACGAAGCATTTTGGTACGGCTTATATTGCCATGATTCTCCTATGCAGTAGCGTTTTACAGTGTAGCGCCCCTCGTCGAAAACAAGCTTAAGGAAACGTATTCATTAAAGATAAACAAAAGCTCGCTTACCACTGGCATGTAGACGCATTGGCAAAAAACTCCAATGCCAATATCAATAGGTCTGCGAAGTAGTTCTTTCACACAGTCCCACTGGACAATGCAACCCATCAGAAACGTGAGCAACGCCAGCAAAGCTTTTTGTATCCAAAACAAAATGTCTTGAACAAGCGTCCTCTCTCTCACAACTGTGATGTTGCAATCCGAGGGTGATACGAATGGGTGAACCTTACTCCCGTTTACTGTTGTAAAACGCAATTTTAGTAATGTTCTTCCAATTTCAGTTGCTGTAAAAGAAAGATCAAAACTTCTGCGGTACAATTTCAGTGTTGCTGAAATTGTTTCGTTGCTGTTGTTATATAGGCCAGCTATTTGCCCCGTTTGGCCGAGGCTGATACTTTCGGCACTTACTTTTATGACATCTTTCTTCGTGAGCACTACTGTCATGTTGAGATCTATAAATAAGTTAGTGTACGTTACATTTAGTATACCCTGCTTTCCATAAAGTATTTCTTGGGAGGCGACGGCTACGACAAAAAAGTTTCTTTTTCCGTGGAATCCCGTAGCCAAACCCAACGCAGTGAAGAAAAGTGAAGCTGTTGTAATGACAGCCTGCATATCGCGTCCTTCAGTGGTGTAATAAAATAGAATTCAAGTTTACTGTCAACACAGAAGGATATGTCTATTTTCAATTTATGTTATACAAAAGCCAGTGCCAGGCTTTTGTATAAGTTATGTTATACAAAAGCCAGTGTTGCCTTACTCCCCGGGATGACGATCTCAGTTGATCCATTAGATATTGCCTTCCATCTAAGTAGTGAAACAGGCGAGTCCTCAAATGCAATAATCTTAAGTCTACCCAAAATCCAAAATCACGTAGTGCGTGTTGCTCAGAGAAAACTGGCGGGGAAGTTTGGTGAAATCCATAAAAACAACGCCATTACAGAACATAAAAATTTCCTCAAACATCCACCACACTTCGGGCCTATCAGATAACACCTTTTTGATCTTCACGTTGAAGTTTATCGAAATTACGCGACTCAGATAACACAATTTCTCTGCGTGTTTCTCTTCTGGTAATTCCAGAGTTTATACATGCTATATCGTTTATAAAAAACTCAGGATAAGGTCACATCTATAAGTAGGCTATATTTCAATTTAAACATATGTAGATTAAATTTAATAATAATAAAAAAAAAGAAATAATTAAGGGCATGGGATGATAAATAAATACAGGAGCTTACTCCTACATGATATTTATGCAAATGGATACAACCAAGTGGAAGGTATTACCTGACCACTTGGAAATAAACACAATCAAGATGTGACATAATCATTGGAAATACATACGCGCCTAGGCTATCTTCTCTAGCACAATTTTCTGTGGCAATACTATTAATCGAAAGCTCTGCGCAAACGCTTTTGCCAAGAAACTCTTAGTCTATATATACGTGTAGTGAATGAGTATTTGTTTTTGAGAAAGACGCTATGTTTGAGATAATTAAACTTGCACACTGAATGGGGCTTGTCTCTCCTTATCAAAATATCTGAAAGAGCCTCTTGTTATACCCGCCATCTATTAAAAAGAAACAAGAAATAGATTGCGGAAGTAAAGCAACACGGAAGTGTTATTTCCAGTTAATAGCCACTCGAGTGGTCGATTCAGTCTCGATAAAAAGATGGAATTTGGTGATGATCTACACGAAGAAGGTTATTTAGAAAAACAGGGGAAATTGGTGAGAGATTTCATAGTTTTCATGTTATTGTTATTGATTATGAAGCTCTGCTTGTGCTACGTATAATGCTAGTACAACACTCAACAGCAGTAACTTATGCATATTGTAACCTATAAGGTACTTTTTTTTTTAAACTAAATTTGCTGCCACGAACAAAACAGGGTTCCTTTTTATAATCTTTGGCTGATAGCCCACGCAGTAACAGCTAACTGCTTTTTCGCTTGACCAACTGCTCCGTCTTACACTATCCACCTCTAACTCTTAACTCTAAACATGCATGAACGGCGCAGAGCGCCTGTATTTTCTCAGGGGCTTCCCCCAAGGATGTTCTGTCTGCAAGAAAAAAGAATGCCCCTGGACAGAACAACTACGATTGCATTGCAAACTTAGCATGTGGTTTGACCACAACAGGAAGGACCGTTAATTGTTACCTGTTCGGCTGTTTCGCAATCAGGGGTACAAAATAGGGGTCACATTGAGAGAAAAATTAACTTTGATGCATTTGTTTAATTTTGTAACAGATAAAAAGAATAACATCTTAACTATGACATCCAACATTTTTAGAACACAATATTAATTATTTTTATGTTAGGTTCAAATTAACAGGATACATGTACCTCTTAGGCTATGATTTGGGGGCTACGGACACTACACATTCAAGTAACTGATGCTTTTTTAACTGAAATATCATATTGTTTACCAGTTATTTTTGCCAACATTCTAAAAATATCAATATAAAGATAGAACAACAGTACTTAATCCAAAAGGATGCAAGTACATGTATTAATCAAAATGTTTTTTGGAGAAACACCACAGCACCTTTTTCAGTGGATACTGGCGCTTGGTTGTGTGTCATGCAGTTTTACTTTCATTCACCAGACTTAAAACTTTTTCTTTCTGTTGCTTGGTCTTTTTTATTTATTTATTTATTTATTTATTTATTTATTTATTTATTTATTTATTTATTTATTAATTTTTGTTTCAGTCTTGATTCTTTTTTTTCGAGTCTTTTCTTCTTTTTCATCTTTAGTTAATTTGCATCTCTTGCTCTGCTGTTTTCAGGATTGTTGGGTTTCTGCTTCTCCTTGACTCTATGTCAGTATGCCCTAATTTCTTCTCTCTTCTTTAGTCTTTCTTGCTGGGCCAGCCTTGGATGATTCTTCATTTTTATGTACAGACACAGATGTGTCTGTACATATTGCCATCACCTGCGTCTGTCGTTGCCGTCGCCGTCGCCGTGCACTTTCTTTGTAAACACGATAAGTGGAGGGCAGTTTTACTTTTTGGCTTTATATTTACAGAGCTGATGAATATTCATAAAACGCAGGTCAAGTTCGAAAATCAGCGTGATCAGTCCATTATTGTAGAAGTTATGCTGTTTTTTCACTTTTCAGCATATATGCAACCCTGTAAACACATTTTAAGGAAAACCGTTAGGCCTATTGTCATGAAACTCACAGGAGTAATCAACCTTACTAAAATGTAGGTCAAGTTCGAAAATCGGCATGATTGGGCCACTATTTTAGTAGTTATGCTGTTTTTTCATTTTTCAGCATATATGCAACACTGTAAACACAATATAAGAAAAATAGATAGGCCAATTGTCATTTAACTCACAGGAGTGGTCAATCTTACTAAAACACAGGTTGAGTTAGAAAATCAGCTTAATGGGGGCATTATTTTAGAAGTTATGCTGTTTTTTTCAAATTTCCTCAGATTCAACTCTTAGGCATGTTAACAGTCTCATTATTGAACTAATAAGATACATAAAAATGTTTGTTTGACATTTCCTGCATCTTTACAACATTGTTAGTCGATTATGTAAAAATGATGGTAAACTTGTTATTGTGTATTGTGTATTAAAGTGTCAAAAATGGAAATAAACTCATTTCATTGCAGTTTGTCAGATTCAATCATTCACTATGTTCAGAATCTCATAATGGAGGAAATTGGACATTTAACACTGTTGTATTGATATTTTTCCCATCTCATCAATTTTCTTAGTTGATCATATAAAAATTGCAGTAAACTGTTTATTTTGTTTTATGTTAAAAAAAGTGTTAAAAATGGAAATAAACCCATGTCAGAACAGTGCTGTCTTGTTTCACATTTCCTCAGATTCAATTCTTAGGCATGTTAACAGTCTCATTATTTAACTAATAAGACATGTAAAAGTGTTTGGTTGACATTTCCTGCATCTTTACAACATTATTATTTGATTATGTAAAAATGATGGTAAACTTGTTATCGTGTATTGTGTAATAAAGTTTCAAAAATGGAAATAAACTCATATCATTGCAGTTTGTCAGATTCAATCATTCACTATGTTCAGAATCTCAGAATGGAAGAAATTGGACATTTAACACTGCTTTTTTGATATTTTTCCCATCTCATCAATTTTCTTAGTTGATCGTATAAAAATGGCAGTAACCTGTTAATTTTGTTTTATCATAAAAAAATTGTTAAAAACAAAAAAAAAAAAAAAAACATTTCAGAACAGTGTTGTCTTGTTTACATTTTGGCATTTTCAAGTTGTGACTTTGAAGTTCCATGGGCCTGAAGACCTTTGCTAGTCACATTTTCTGAATATCCATGATACTAATATTTTATTATTAAAAATTGATGGTCATTATGCTGTTAAACATTATGTAATATTGCAAATTTGAAAAAAAAACTATTTTGGGCACTGCTCCCATGATGACCATTTAAGAAAAACCATGTCACTTACTGTTCTCAAACAGTACAGTAAATATGTACAGATGTGTCTGTACATATTGCCATCACCTGCGTCTGTCGTCGCCGGCGCCGACACCGTGCACTTTCATTGTAAACATGACAAGTGGAAGGCAGTTTTACTTTTTGGGTGTATATTTACAGAGCTGATGAATATTCATAAAACGCAGGTCAAGTTCAAAAATCAGCATGATCGGGCCATTATTGTAGAAGTTATGCTGTTTTTTCACTTTTCAGCATATATGCAACACTGTAAACACATTTTAAGGAAAACCGATAGGCTTGTTGTCATGAAACTCACAGGAGTAAACGATCTTACTATAAAGCAGGTCAACTTTAAAAATCGGCATGATCGGGCCACTATTTTAGTAGTTATGCTTTTTTTTTCACTTTTCAGCATATATGCAACACTGTAAACACATTTTAAGGAAAACCGATAGGCCTGTTGTCATGAAACTCACAGGAGTAGTCATTCCTGCTAAATCGCAGGTTGAGTTCAAAAATCAGCATAATCGGGCCATTATTTTAAAGAAATGCCGTTTTTATGTACAGACACAGATGTATTTTACCTGTTGAGCATAATTAAAATTNCTCTTAGGCTATGATTTGGGGGCTACGGACACTACACATTCAAGTAACTGATGCTTTTTTAACTGAAATATCATATTGTTTACCAGCTATTTTTGCCAACATTCTAAAAATATCAATATAAAGATAGAACAACAGTACTTAATCCAAAAGGATACAAGTTCATGTATTAATCAAAATGTTTTTTGGAGAAACACGTACACAGCACCTTTTTCAGTGGATACTGGTGCTTGGTTGTGTGTCATGCAGTTTTACTTTCATTCACCAGATTTAAAACTTTTTCTTTCTGTTGCTTGGTCTTTTCTATTTATTTATTTATTTATTTATTTTTGTTTCAGTCTTGATTCTTGTTTTTTGAGTCTTTTCTTCTTTTTCATCTCTAGTTAATTTGCACCTCTTGCTCTGCTGTTTTCAGGATTGTTAGGTTTCTGCTTCTCCTTGACTCTATGTCAGTATGCCCTAATTTCTTCTCTCTTCTTTAGTCTTTCTTGCTGGGCCAGCCTTGGATGATTCTTCATTTTTTTTTGTTGCTTCTCTGCTATGTTACAAGCATTCAACATCTTCCTTACGTGTTTCAGCATGACTATTAGCTCTTTGACGTTTTTTTTTTTTTTTTTCAAATTATTTTTGCTGACAGTAAAAATTTCAGGTTTCCCTTTTCTTTTCCTATTTGGCTTTTGTTCATTGTCATCCATGTTTGATACTTCATCCACTGAGAGTATTATAAATATACCTCTGTTAATTATGCATGTATGGTAGTGTTCGTACCCCCTCAAAATATATCATATATATTAATCCATAGAATATTAATCCATATACAATTTATTATTTTGCAATTAGCTATATTTGGCAATATATTGGAAGCAATATCATTCATTTGAAGTAGCAGTAGCATCTTTACTGATATTATTTTTTTTGCAAAATGTCTTGCCTGACTCTTATTAATTAGTACCACTTTATCGGATATACATTTATATACAATGTTTTTTCTATACATCATAGGACATGAATGCATTTTATACAATCTAGAACAATATTTTGTACCATATTTTGAAGTTTTATCATCATTGATAAGTAGCCAGTTATCCAAATGGTTAATGTATAACTTGGGGGTATGGACACTACAGTAGGGGTACAGACACTACATTTGGCACCAAATTCTTGCATATCTTTTCATAATAAGGGGTAATGTGCTATTTTCTTCCTGAAAAATAAATGTCAGTGTGGACATACATAAAATAATAAGATCAGACAGAATATGCTGTGATTCCTAAATAAAACCGATAGGGGGGGTATGGACACTACAAAAGGAGACACCAAGGGGCTCATGATTATAAATACCATAGCATTATTAATAATGGTCACATATGCACAACTCCTTTATTATGATGAAGTCATAACATGGTAAATTCATCTTATCATCACGTAGGTGATGTCAAAGTGATATTTGGCCTTATCAAATATGTTTTTCATTGCATTAACAAAAATAAGTAAAATGTGTACAAAAGCCTGTTTCAGCAAAATGGTTAAAATTAATTTTTTCTCAGAATGTTTCTTTGGAAGAACTTGCTAGAAGAGAAGACATATGTTGCGGGAATTATATACCAATATCATATTCACCATAAATCATTGACATAAAGAGCTAGTGCATCATATTTATGACCTTAATTGAAATGACCCATCATAACAGCTAAAAATAGGTACTTTTTGAACACATAATTGGCTATATTTTTGTAAATTGTAGTCCGATTATTATAATTCTTTTTTTATTTTGCTCCTATGAACAGTGTCTTTGATATCAGTCTATCAGCAATCTCTAATCGTAAATTGCTAATTTATCAGACACTTGTAACATTAACCACATTTAATTGTTCACCCTGATTGTGAAACAGCCGTGTTGCTAAAATGAAACACGGCTCTGTAACTCAAAAGCATTGTGTATTGCGAATAGCGATATCACATAGAGGCTACAATGTATTACATGGGGCAAGTATGGGCGAGTTATGGAATCGAGACACTTGCACTCGGTCGAGTTACGGGGCCCAGGGCTGCTGGTCAGAGGTCAACTGAGCTGTTAACAAAGAGAGGTTAAAATGTACATGTGGAATTTCTTCAATATAGTTTTAAAAGTTTTAATAATTGGTTTTAATATCACACATTAAAATCAAAAGGTAACTCATACTTTCTGTTATTTGCATTGGTAGTTATGGTATCTAGCATGGAAGTTGAATACAATTGATTAATATCGATTCTATGAAAATGCAACAAGTACTTTTTTACAGAAATTTTCCTGGAAAAAGTATTGGTTTGTTCTGAGGAGAGATAAACTGCACTATTACAAAGATCCACAAAACAGGGTAAGTAATAAGGATCTATATTTTCTAGAAGTTGTCTTGCAGAAGACTTTAGTTAGATCAAGGACGTATATTGAATATACGTCCTTGGTTAGATTCATTGAAAAATTGAAACTAAAATAATTTTAGTATTTAAATATCCATGTTTTGAAGAGAGATGCTGATGTCTAAAATTTCATTCAACTGTAAAAAAACTTTGAAATAAGAATAAAGAGGTATTGAGTGCATTGGCACATGTTGTGATTTAAATGACTTTAAGAACATCCAAAATATATTTTGAACTAATTTTATTCTTGTACAGAATGATGCACATGCTGGTCTTATTGATGTGTGTAGAGCACAGTCTGTGAGGAGGTGCTTCCAAGTACACCATGGGCATGCCTTTGAAATTGTTACAAAAAACAGGATGCACTTGCTGGTATGTTATAGCAATATCATAATGTTCTGTATACAAGTATAATGATGCTCTGTTTACAATAACAGCTGTATACATGATATCTACACTACTGTACATGGTATTAAAAACTTGTGCCTGAGTGTTGTATAGCCAGTATGTCTTGCCCTTGTAAACAATGTTTATGTGCATATCATCAGTGATGATGATTCATTTGTAATTATAACCAAAAGGTTTAAATTTCACATTTATAGTGTAAATGCAATAGAATGTCAAAAGACATATCAGAATAAAATAACATGAATAATATAATTGAAAGTCAGTTCAGAAAAACTACAGCTACCAAAGAAGTCTGTGTTTGACTTCAAGTGAGAGATGATATGTTATTTAAATTTCTTTATTTCTATATTTATCTAAAATCTCTACTAACATACCCAGTAGTTAATTACTATGTTTTAATCACTAGTCTGCAGACACAGCAAAGGCATGTGATGTTTGGGTGAAAAAACTTCAGCAAGCTATGCAGTATGAAAGACGTAACAGTGTACGCCTTAGTCACGCTCATTTGGAGCCACAACCATCATTGTAAGTATTTTTATTTGGTTCACAAGTTTTTGTAAACTGCAATGTTTTTATATATATTGGGCCATGTATGAGAAGTAGATTTATTGTAAAACTCTATGCTAAAATTGTATAATTTTTAGCCAAAAACTTCACTGTCACACACTTCGACAATTTTACATTTCATTCAGTAAAGGAACTTGGAGCAGCCATATAGTATACTGAGAATTTTGTATATGCTGATGCTCAAAAGTTTAGCAACCCTTTTTCTGTTTAACAATTTGCCTAAAAAACCAAATCTTTGATTGGTCTTAGATTAGAGAAAGTTTTGTACATCAGCTTTACATGTCTTTTGTTGTTACCTGGTGCTACTAGGCCTTGACTTGTGGTTACTATTCATTGATCAACTGAGTCGAATCTGTACAGGGAGTGACACTTACAAAAAGAAAAAACCTTTAGGCTTGCTATATGAAGCTCACATTTTGGGTGGCTTTATGTGCAAATTTCTGAAAGTCTTTTCCAAAAATAGCAAGATAACATACTGATATAGATTGTTTATGAGGCACTTTTAACATTTTACTTATTAAGTCAATCTCATAATTTTCTGAATAGAATGTGTAACTTTTTTGAAATTTTTATAAATGAGAGAAAATGACACAGTCCCACTGACATTTCAAATAAAGGTTTTGAAGAATTGTAGGAGTTGCATCAGAGCATCAGCATATCTGTTTGATCTTTGATACAATGCATATTTGGTTCTATAACATATTTTGTTCTGATTTTATAGTTCCGAGATAAGTGATGATGAGAATGAGCAACCTCCAGATTCTTATGAAACAGTTCCTAATTCGGCCACCAGTGACTACGAAGTATTTAAGGACAGTAACAATTCTTCTTCTACAAGTGACAGAAATACAGAAACGCCCAAAAGTCCACCTGTCATCACTTCACATTCCCCAGGTGTTGCCCCACCTGTTCCAAAGCAGAGGACAAAATCTTTAAAATCTCCCGGGCCGGTCAGTCCAGCCCTGCCGGTTAGTCCAGCCCCGCCATTGTTGTCTGCAGAGGGTGAATACTACCAAGTGGAAGAATCATCAACAAGGACAAAGATGAAGAAGGGTAATGGAGAAGATTTATCTGCTGGGGCTTATGAAATAGTTGGTGCTTATGAATCCATTGGGGAACTTGCTGAGAAGAAGCAGGAAGTTAGTCAACAACACAAACAAGAGGAGGAAGAAGAAGAACTGTATGCTACTTGTGAAGACCCAGTAATCCCCAGTCCAGCCACTGATGAAGACATTCCAAAAGAAACGCCTCCATATGCCAAAGTAAACAAGAAAATGACTGGTGAATCAGTCAGTGAAAGTCCACAGACAGTGAATAAGGATGCTGAAAGCATTGCACAGATTAACAGTATGGTGAACGACACAGGAAATGATGCAATGCAGGAGGTTAGCAATAAGAAGCAACAAAAGCTACAGAAACAGGAATCATCAGATGAGTTTAAATGGATGAATTTTGACTTTCCACCCATTCCAGAAGATCCACATCCAATCGTTGAATATGCAGAGTCTTTTAAAGAGTTGTCATACTATCTGCAAAACAACTTCAAGAAATCTGAAGGTTCAGTGTCACTTAGGAAGAGTGAGAAAGGAGGTGTTTCAGTTCAGAAAATGAGAAATTCTCTCAGTGATGAGGAAGATGAGCAGCTTGCTCCTTGATTTGTACTTGTGTATTATTCAAACTTTTTCCCCATGAAGATGTAAAAACAATTTTGTTTTATTGTAGTTGGTTATGGGAGGAATATGCATTTACCACCATCTTAATTACATTTTGAGCTTTTTGATTCTTTTTGATTTGTTCTTTTTTCATTACACTTGTTCTGTTGTTGTTATTATTACTTTTTTCTGCCCCCTTTGTCATTTTTGTTATCTGCAGTATAGAATACTGAAAGGGGTGGCTGTTCAGCAATTGTTGCATTTATATTGTGTAAAGATGCATTTTAGATTTCATTGTGCAGATACATTTATATTGCCCAGATTGTAAAACTGTAAATGAATATGACAAATATCTTTCTATTCTTTGTCTCACCTTTCAGCATTTTGTAACCATGGCTCTTCACTGTTTATATTGTTATCACAGATTTCTTTGTATATTAATCAGTTTAAAAATGCATTTCATTGCCATAGTGAGTCTTTGAACTTCTACAGTATCCAGATTGTTACATTTCTATTTGTGCATAATTTTGACATTCTTTACTTGTATTAAGTAGAGATGGTTGACCCTTTTGCTTGCCAACATGTATTCCACCTTCTGACAACTGATAATTAGTCATTTCATACACGTATGTGTGTGTGTGCTGGATATTGTGTTTTTATGTTATGAACTCCAATTTCAGATCTTGCCAGTATGCACTTTATATTTGAAACATTTTTTTTCAAACAGAAAATCCATTCCAGAAATACTGGTCTGAAATCAGAACTGTTGGAGTTTTAAAAGTAAACTTTTAGAAATTTACCAAACTTCTTTGATTCTTAGAAAGAGTGAAGAAGCCTGAATCATTGATTTGATGCATTTTTTAAGATTTCATTCAAACTGGCACTTCTTCCATGAAAAGTGTTAAACAATGTGACACTAACAAATGAGTATTTGATTTGAAATAAAAGTTTTATTACACTTTTTATTCAAAATTTTAATAATATAAATCATCTTCGTATATTCATTGTGCCTGGTTCAATTTTCAAATTTACTTTTAGACTAATCAAATAACCAAAGATGGAGAATTTTTTATATTATGTATTCTGATCAAAAACATTGTTGAAAGCCTGCTAGATTATATTAAATGTCTAAATACTGAAAACTAGTTTAGCAGTCTTTGAACCAGTGTAACATGAAAATCTGACTCCCAGAGTCAAAATTTCGTAATGAAAATCCAACTCGCCCATGAAATTTTGACACCCCCCCCCCACACACAAAACTTTATCTTATTTTATTTGAGAATATGACTTTTATCTTGTAGTATGCATAATGGAGGATACATTGGCACTTCTTGTTAGTGAAAATTCTCAAGGGAAAATAAAAATATGTATTTTACCACCCAAAGACTCCCCTATAAAAAAGCTATTTCTTAGCTATTTATTTGATATTTGGTGATCATTTCAACATCTTTCCTTTAGTTTATTTTATGGAAATACAATGAAAATATTTGAAAATTTGATGGTAAAATATAGGGTGGAAAAATGAAAAAAAAAAATTACAAACAATCTTCATTTTCATACCCATAGAATTTGGCATGAAGAAAAGGCCCTATTTTATATTTAGTCACCATTCCATTATTTTCCACATAGTTTGCATTGTGATGTATATTTTGTTAGTATTTGAAAGTTTGGGGGGAAGCTTTTGGGGAAAATTGATAATTTTTAAAATATCAAATAAATAGCATTTCATACGGGAGTCATTGGGTGATAAAATACACATTTTTAATTTTCTTATTTTCTCATAAGCATTTTCACCTGCAAACTAACAAAAAGTGGCAATGTATCCTCCATTATGCATAGTACAATTCAAAAGTCATACCAAAATAAAATAAGATATATGAAGTTTTGTGGGAGAGTCAAAATTTCATTAGGGGAGTCGACTTTTCATAATATAATTCTGACTGGGGAGTCGCCTTTTAGGGCAGTCAGATTTTCATGGTACACTGATATAAAGTAAACTGATCATTAAAATTAAGCCCATATATATATATATATATATATATATATATATATATATATATATATATATATAAATATACCAGAGTTATACACACAATCAATTTTACTTTAATTTTACTTTTTTGAAATGAATGCATTACAGTACAATGAATATGTTACATTAATTTTTTTATCTCGCAAAAAGCACCTGTTTATTAACAGCAAGTGGTGCGCTATGGTCTGTTCATACAAAGCTCATTATACAAACATATTGCACTGACGACATGTTCACAAAGAAATCCTTACAGACAACTGGTTGAAATAAACTTTATCCTAAATGAGCTTCACTTATCATTTAACAGAAAGTTAAAAATGTACTTTCTGACTTTTGTTTACTGAAAATCTAAAACAAAAATACTGGCATATCAAAATCCTGTGGCAAAACTGGAAAATTATAGCGCATGCTGCATCATTTTCAATCATAACATATTACTGATTATTAGGCATCAGATTTACTGCTTCTGGAAATAAATAGTAATGCATGATAACATTTTCACTCAACTCACATTATATCTAATGAGATAAAACTGATTGTCAAAATGTATCTGTGCTATATGAACAGACACAGATTATCACAGCCAATAATATAGATCATGTGATATGAGTATTTCAAAGACATTTAGTACTTCTTCCTCAGGGTAAAAACCTTATGCCTATTAATGAAGGTATATGCTGTGAATAATCAGATGCATTACAGCTAAAACTGGCTTTTTCTAAAATGTTAACCTGCCTCGTTTTTTCTTTTAATCACAAAAGCAAATGTACAAAGAGGCAGCAAATCTTTCATTAACATAAAATAGAATAACTGAGATCATTTACATTCAGAATTATTGACAGTTCTGCTGTAAATCAAGGCAAATAGACATACTTTGTATATTTTGTTCATTGTTTATTTCTTTGTAGATGCTGCTGATCTAAAACTAATTATAAATGAAATAGAATTTTGTCTAGCACTTCAGACAAGGCAGTCTGTTTCCAACTCATAGCCTGACAATGTATTGCCCCATTTATACACAAATATGCTACCGCTAAAAACTCCAACTGATACAGTTACACCCACAAGGTATGACAACACATATTTCACAACACTAAAAAAGAGCCATACAAAAGCCTCACTTGAAAACAACTGGCTCCGAATACCATCATGAAGAAAAACAATAGCCCTGATAAAAAAGGCACCCAGTACACATTCTGAAATCATTATAATGACATAGTTATTAACTTCAATAGGTAGTCTATCAGTGAAAATCCTCATTCTAGCTTTACCAACAGAGCCAACACATATGTTGGGGTTTTGACCTCATGTCTGGCTGCTTCTATTTGATCCTATTTGGACATATTGTTAATGTTCCACCAATGGCCAATTACTTACCAGCTTATCTCCATACATTTCACACAGTTTTGTTAAATAATATTGACAGATCCCTATCTGTCCTGGTATATGCAAAAAGAAAGGCTTGGAAACATCCCACTTAAACAATCTTGTTATTAATATGATCATGATTCTGATTACAAAAGCTACCTACATGTGCAACAAAATAGACAAGCGATACATTAAAATGCTTACTCATATCTAACATGATAAAGATCTGTAACCAAACTACAGAATTATATATTTCTATCATAGATATGTATTTTTTAACCTCCCCCCCCCTCCCTCATTTATGTGACTAGAGCCTCAACAACATGGAAATCATAATCAGAAACCTTGCTTGCTAATATAAGCAATATCATTTAAGTAGACTCATTTTGATTGGGCCAATACTAAGTGAGACTGGCAACAACATTTTGATTTTGGAGATCATTTTCATATTCCACAAAGTCATCAAGCAAGCTAGGCCAAGCTTCAGACTCGTCATAGTTGCTCAGGTCACTGCCTACTTGCTCTGTGAAGTGTAAAAACATGTCCCAGGTGTCTCGTGGGATGCCACGTATACCCTCATGTTTTTCCAGGAAATGTAGCCAAGGCTCAAGTAATGGGGGTGCATTTTGAGTAAAAACAATTTTCCACATCTGAATGGCTACTTCTGTAGAGAGAGTTCTTTGCCCTGGTTCAACAGTCAAAGTGAACTTGTAGGCCCAGCGATAGAGCTCCTTAAATGACTGTTTGTTTTGAACTTCATTAAGTAAGTGAGGGAGCTTTCCTTGTATTCCTTTGACACTGTCCACACGCATACTCTTGCAGCCAGAGACAAACTCACTGCGTGAGAATCGTCCCATCATTTCAGCATTGCACTTCCAAGCAAAGAGCAACACAGAAAAGTCCTCAGGTTTCAATCCTAGGTCGTCACAAAACTTCAATATGCCATCCTCTGTCATAGCTTCAGGTTCATTTCTATATTGATCAAATAAGGCATTGATTTTTCCATCTGAGCACTCTAATGAGAGCCTCTTAGTGTCATTATTGTTTTGAGATTTGCGAATTGGGGGCAACCTAGGATAAGAAGCAAACACTTTGCTTCCTGAGAGTTGTTGAGAGCTTCCTGAAGAATGGATGGACATTTCTGACTGTTGTCTACTGGAGTTTTGTGCAGAATTAGTCTTTGTAGTCACTAATTCCCTCTGTAGATGTGTCTCTCTGTCTCTTGTAGGATTTGAAGAGTCCTCCTTGCCAGAAAGACATTGACCCATAGTGAATACAGAACACCAGGGTTCTTAACGGACTTACAGACGATTACCACCTGTGCTTCTACTGTGTCAATTCTGAGTTTCTTCACTCCAGTTCAGTTTAGTACAGTTAAAAGCTGAATCCAGTCTCAATGCAGTAAAGGTTGTCTTTAAATGCTGATACCAAGCTATCTGTCAGATTTCCTTGTTGCTCTTAAAAAAAAAATTAAAAAAAATAAATAAATAAACAAATATATCAATGTTGCACACAGAAACCATAATACTGCCACATATACATGAACATCTCAAACAACATCAACAAAATAACAAAATATCACTGTTTGTTGGCCTCAGCTCTGATATTTACAAAATCACCTTGAAAATGTACTGAGCATCTATGTATGAGTCACCATGTATCGAAGAAAAGGACAATAAACCTGGTAACTGGCAAATAATGAAGAGTTTGTGTGGAAACAAAGAAATATAAATCAGTAAAATACCAAGGGAAGTTAATAATAAGAAAAACACACTGGAAATTTCTTAGGTATATGGATGATGGATGACCTCTTTCATGTTATAACAGGTATGCAATCCAGGTGTTGTTGAAATGTGTATGTGTGTGTGTGTTCATGAAAGTATATCAAAGCACTGCCATTACATCCATATTACCTGTGTAAAAATTACAATAATGAATCAACATTGTATCTCAATATATTGACCTATAATACAAATAGGAATTAGAAACAACAGCAATGACAAAATGAAACTAAGGGAACTGAGCAGGGGAACTAGGGGAACTGAGATATTGCTGCCAGATATTGTACCACAAGTGAGATTAAACTCATTCAAGTCCAATGATAGCTATGGATGTAGACTGTTTTAGTTGTGAAGAAACAGTGGCTGGTTAATATGCGAAGTGCATTTTACATGTAAAAGTAGGGCAAAGGTCAAATTTAAGGCTATATAAAGTTTCTAATAAATGTTTGTTATTGAAGTTTAATAGTGTCTTTGGGCATATATCTGCTAGTTTTGGAGATACAATTAAGGGCTAGAAAAAAATGCAAAGTACATTTCATAGCAAAAAGTAGGTTACAGGTCAAATTCATGGTCACATTAGGATTCCCAGTATACGATTTCCTATTCAAGTTCAATAGCACCTACAGGTGTATCTTTCCCAGTTTTGGAGATATAAGAGCTAGAAAATTTGCAATGTGCATTATATAATGAAAAGTAGGTCAAATGTCAAATATAAAGTCACATTATAAGATTGCCAATATATGATTTTCTACTCTAGATCAAGAGCAACAATGGACTTTTATCTGCTAATTTTGGAGTATTTCACGTTTTATTTTTTAAAATCTTCACTATGGAGCTTTGCAACATTGTACTTTATTCAAAAAGTGCAATCCCTAAACTGTATGGAGACAAAAAAAACAAAAAAAACACTTCCCAGCTTGCACTTGTCAAGCTCTACAAAATGCAATGAACAAAAGGTATCTAGCTTTTATGGTTCCATAATAAAGAAAGTTTTCAGTTTTCAGTTTCTCTAATGGCTGCTTCTTCCATGAAAATGCAATAACTGATCCCAAACTCACGAATATGAATGGAGACCCAAAGTGCAACTGAAAATCAGAACAAATAAATATTTTTTTACATAACTTTTAATTCTTACAAAATTTTGGCCCATTTGACCTTAAAATATAGGTCAAAGGTCAAATACAAGGTCATATTTGAAATCTCCACGTGTCTTTTGGTCAGACTTCTATGGTAATTTTTTCTCATATTTCCTTCAGTTTGGGAGATATTTGGTATTAATTTTCAAAAATTTTGACAAGAGACAGGTTGGGATTAAAACCATGAGTACCGCCAGACCTGACACGGGTGGTGCTAATAAAGAAATAAAAATAATCAAAAGAAAGACTGAAAAATAGAAAGGCAAATGATAACTCCATATGACAAAATTACCTAATAATACACTTACCAGTACTAGGTCACAAAATCAACACGAAAATTGTAAAATGTAGAAGTCTACCTGTCACTAGCCCATTGGTACTGAATTAGTGTTAATATCTGCATCTGATGTATGTTACACTTCAGTTCAGGTGATAATATTCACACATGAAAACAAGGAAGACTGTTTTAACCTACCTTTACATTGGTGACTCACACCAGTTTGACTTCACCATTACACAGGAGAGACAGCTTGGCCATTCAATCCCTGGAAGAACAGAAACCAAGAGAAAATTCAATTCACACTAAGATATAATCATATTAATCCCTGTATCATCCTACTCAGTGCTGCCTTTCCCATCTGTCATAGAAGCCAGCTTTGGCTATCCATCAGATGAGAGAGCATGGCTGACATTGTTGTGTGACACAGCTCTTTGCTACTTGTAAATGCAACCACTAAATTATGATAATGACTTGCCCCATGGTAATGACTTTAAACAAAGAAGAATAGCCAAGCTGTGGTCTTTACTGTCACAAGACATTTATCTTCCTTGTAATTTGATGGATATAAAATCTACTGTCTTTATACCACCAACAAAGTAGTGCGATATAGTATCTATAAGGAAGAGATTCATTTCAAAAGGAAAGATGTAAGAAGTCATACCTTGTGTCACCTTCTAATTTTTTGCTTAGCACATCCTGTCAAGTATATATATTGCTAAATCTATACAATGCCTCAAATGAACAACAGAATGCTTCCACAATTCTTGGAATTTGAGATCTGACAGATATATTGACATTTCTCAGAAAGAAAAGCTATAACATTACTCCACTTACCAGGAGGCCATGCTGTGCAATATAATAACCTTACCTGTTAACCAGGAATTAGATAAGAGTATTATACATGTCAGCTTGAGGTATATTACCATCCCAAGCTGGATTGGCCAACCTGTGTAGGAGTAATAAGGCAGAAAATGAACACCTAAGTCTTACCAGAAAAAAAAAAGAGGATAAGATCATAAACAACCATGCCTAAACTATAAGTAAAATATGCTACTATTGTTCCTACTTCTGTATTTATGGTTACTTTGAATACTTAATTTTCTTTCAATATGTGTGAAACAGGTTTTTTTCCCCTAACCATGGCAAAAAGCAAAGTCGATAATATCCCTATTATCTTGACCTATTTCTATAACAGGTGGTATAGCATGGGATCATTTCACAAAGCAATTAGAAGACACTGATTTTAAATCTGTAGTTCTTATCTTAATTTAACAGGATATCCTAGAATATAGGATCAATGGTACAAGTGCACATGTTCATTGATTGGTTCTGGTGTTGGATCAATGAGGAATTCAGTATTCATGTGGTCTGTTACATAAATGGGTTTACATATTACTAATTTCATTGTGTCGCCAACCACGGCCAATGTTAAATAGTTTATGTACTATAACATAGCAGTCACTCGTTTAATGAACTTCTCCAAATTCTTTAATATTCCTCTCTCTCTCTCTCTCTCTCTCTCTCTCTCTCTCTCTCTCTCTCTCTCTCTAAGTGTGTTTTCATGTTCACATGAGGGTATGGCACCAGGCACAGGGAGAATTGTGAGTACTTAATAAATAACCTTTTATCAAATTAAAAAGTTAGTCATATAGAGTTAGGAAATAACGTCTTGTATGAGACATATCTGTATTTTAACCATTCCAGCCTTGTATTAAATTCACCTGAAAACTAGTACAATGCATCTACACTTCAAACAGGAAACCTTTTCTATTTTTTCTTTCTGTACAAAATTAAACCCAAACAAAGAAAAAACAACACAACTAATGTAAAACAAATGACTGAAGCAAAATTATTCACCATAAGGAAGTCTCATTTAAGCTTGTAACCAGAAAAGGAGGTCTCATTTAAGCTTGTAACCAGAAATTTACAGGCCACTGAATAATACACGGTCTAATAATGCTGATTTTGCCTGACACTGTGGTTGACTATGCATGATGGAAAGAGAGCAGTATGTTATACAGTGTTAATATGTCTGAACTTGGATCAGACGTGAGGCGATGGCAAAGCAATGAAGCTCACATTCTTATTTAAATGACTCTAAGCTAAGTTTACAAAGAAAATTTGGCAGAGTGTTAAGGCTCATTCTAGTAGAAATTTATGAATACAGCAATGACTCCATCATTTCAACCTGGAAAATTGTGAATTTTACAGATACTGTATTTTTTTTAAGTAATACATTCTTAAAATTAGAACATAATAGTTTTATTCTATAAAGTAAAAGCACCAAAATGCTACATAGAATTTTTTTAATGATTCCAAAATTATGTATCTGAACAACTGATAAATTTTTTCCATTACCGCACATGTCAGCCAAAGGCTAGAGAAAAAAAAGAGAATCCTGCCCAAAAACATAATTGTCTAACCTAAGAGAATTAATAAATGCCTGCAAACAATTTCTAGAATGGGATGACAATCCGTTTCTAATCTACATTTTACTACTTTTACTACATATTACTACTTTACTACTTTTTTTACTTTAGAACATTTTAGAAAGAGTAAGTGACATTGACATATCTTTATTTTGTTTTTTAGCTATGTCAGATTCACCAATGAAAATATATATTCAAGAAGAACTTGCATTAAATATGTTAACTTAAATCTTGAATCAGACAACACATGTTTGAAATGCAGGGCCCGTATGTATACAAATAAGGCTGAACTCGAACAAAATATGTCCTAGATTCAGGACATCAAACAGCATAAGATATAAGTTAATTCTATCTGCATCGCAATATTGAAAATTGGACTAAAATTTATTTGTGAAGCCAATCCTGCTTATCCACTGCTCCATATCTACGGTGTCCTACACAATGATGAACATTCCTGTTGTATCCAAACCATTTTTACAGATTTACTGTTTTCTTCCAGTCTTATGATTTTCCCCACAACACATGGATAAATCCTACAACACTACCAATATATTTTCTGTTTTGTCACATCATCTGTCCATTCATTGGTAGCAAAGTGGGGAAAACTGTTATTAGTACATGGGGAAAACCCAAAACATATCGATAGTGTTGGGGGATTTATCAGAGGGTTTTGTGGAAAATTGTAAGACTGGAGAAAAACAGTGGTACATCTGTAAAAATCATATGGAAACAGCAGTATTATTCATAATCCAGTGTGGAAGTAAGGGAGCCCTGTTATCTATTCTTTGATTAAATTCAAATATTTCTGGACCAGAAAAGATCCATCAAAAATATTTGAACAGAATGTTTTTCCGTGACAATATATATAATCATTACCAGGCTCACATTACTTTCTTCATTTTCCATGTGATTTTTTTCAGTTCTAACATGATAGCTGTCATTCTGATGATTGCACAGGCATTGTTTGGAGATAACAGTGGAATAAGAATTAAGACAATGTAAGAATTTAAGTCCTAATATTTTCACTTCATGTCCTGTATGCTTAAAATGGCCATCCTCTGCCTTTTCTGACAAGGAAACAAGCAATGTTCTAGTTATCTTTATGAATTCAAAAGACTATGTCATCAATATGATCACTTGATGACATAGTTGGGGAATTATGTGAGCAGGAGATTGCTGAAGTTATACACAGAACTGGCAGTGCACTGTTTCTAAAGTGGATAATTAACGGAGAAAATGAGCCTGCCAAGCACCACTATTATAACTGGCTCTCCCAAAATATCAATGGCTTATCATTGTGCTTTACTATCTATCAAAACTGTGTAATTACTAAACAGATCTCCATAGGAAGCAAATCCAAATGCTCTACAGTTCCACCCACCAACAAAATGACACAACTTAAAGTGGGATAACTATTCACATGCAATGGTGTCCCCTTTCCTTTTATTTCAAAATGAAACATAAGAAAGAAAACCAATATAATAAGCTTACAACAATGAACTTATAGGTTTTTTTCATACAAATCATCATGGCAACCATCAACGTGAAGCATGGTAACCATCAACATGACATGCTGTTTTCCCAGAAAACAATTGCATGTTTAGAGATATGGCAGATATACAAGTGACAGTGTTAGAAAAGAATTAATCTAATCCCACATACTTTTTTTCAACTGACTTATGGCTAACCAAAAACCATTTCAGTAACAATATGTTCATTATTTCACAAATTGTGTCAAAAGCACACTTTGGATACAGCAAAAGCAATATTTTATATATACTCATCTATTTCAAAACAGCAAGTTAATCAGATACTGTTTGTGTGCATGCATGTGTATGTATGTTACTCAGACATTTTTTGATGCACTTCTGTATGAATTTGTTAAGAGGTTCTCATACAATGGTATGAAATGGCATGGGGCACCATGTTAGAGCAGGTTTCAGCAATATTCCTTACTTAACAAAATCAATATAAAAATAGGGAAAGAGGACCTAATTGCCCAAAGAACAAGGGGATTGAACTCCCAAGATAGAAGTACATCAAGTTCACTGCTAACCCTCACATTTTGGGAGTACTGGCAACCAGGTGATCCATGGCCTAACTAGTCTGTAGATCTTTAAAGCATGCTGGGATTTAATTGCTCTGCCCCTGCTGGGAAGACACTTAGGAGGCAGGGAATCCATTACGTCAGGCCTACCCAACTACCAGACGCAGCACAGAAGGATCCAGAATTCACCGTAGATCAGATCCGATCATGCTATCAGTTTTCAAAGTATGCATCAGGACAGCTTGTAGTATCAGACGTGGCACCCTCTTTCCTGGTACAAGTGTCTGATCTGATACCTTGAAGCGTGTGCTGATACACACCTTAAAAACTGGTAGCATGATCTAATCTACGGTGAACTTTAGATCCTTCCATGCCACACCTCTGCCCTGGTAGTTGGGTAGGTGTATTACATTATTGTTAGGGGATTATGCGGCTTGCTTTCAAGTGCGTGCCATATTTGGCTCAACAGGCTCTGAATGCTCCCTTAACGCTTTGAACCAAGTAACAACATATCTTGGCCTTTTTCATCCCATATGTGCCCATAAAATGTAGCACAGGTGCTGTGCTTACTTATACCCCAAAACGGTCAATTTTAGTGTGTATTGAAAGGCTTAAAAATCTAACCGAGACCCTTCAGATTCTGTATGAATAGCACACACACACGTATGCATGCTAATCTTTCTGGGACCGTCATGCCAAATCATTTTTTCCTTGAGAAAAAAGCAACTTTTTTGTTTCTCAGGTTACACAGTTTCTCATATCTGAATTGGGAATATTAAGTTGCTTTGAAGGATATGTACACAAAGAAAATATGATTTGGGGTCATTTTAAAACGCGTATGCTGTACCTTTCATAAAATATTTTTTTAAAATGCTTTAAATGCTTGGCCAAGCTTTTAAAGCACATTTTTCTGCGTACATAACTTTGAAAACTCCTGTACTAAACGACTCTTCCTGTTGCCTTCCTTTTTAATTTCGACATGAAATCGATCTCGGATACTTCCAGTTTACACTGCATGTCTACGCTTACTGCTTTTTTCATACTGTACCACTGGCATTACCAATGCGTATCTAGTACATGAATCTAATTCTACACCTCAACAAGGATAAATTTATGCAAGTTTTTCAAAATAATAAGGTATATTTATATCGAACCTTGTATACTGTATGCATATATGTAACTTCCTCGATCGGGAAAAGACGGTGTTTTGGTCAGCTGTTTTCCTTTCGCTTTGTTCCTCTCGCAAAATGGTTGTTCGCCTCCGCTCTTGCGCTAGGTGTCAGAAGGAAACAAGACAAGCCCATAAAAAAATACAAACTTTACCATTTTGTATCATTCAGCACTTTCCTACTTTTTATTTATTATAATGTAAAACAGTAGCTTCAAGATATTTTGAAACCTGGCGGTGTTTGCTTCATTTAAAATATTCATATAAAAACGAGTTTCCTTTGTAGCATTGCAGTGGCGCATTCCTAGAGAGGGGGGGGGGGAGGGGTCAGAGGGATCCCTTCGGTTTCTAAAAAAAATCACACTTACATTCCCCTCTTGGAATTAGAATTTTGACCAGCTGTTTTATAGTACTAAACCGCGCCAAATGTCACCGTTTGCCCTCCAAAATACCCAAAATTCTCAGGGTCTACTATAATTGACTTCATATTTTCACTCTTTGTTGGGGGGGGGGGGGGGGGGGCTGCTGCTTTCTGCAGACAGGTCATTTACCAAAATTATTGTCAAAAAATAATAATAATAATAATAAAATTTAAGATGCATATACATTACCTGTGCATATTCTTCTCAAGAGACATCATGCTGGACAGGTCTACTGGTTTGATTGGAACATTATCTAAAAATCATTTATATGTAACGTACACTTTTGTATGATCATCATAAATTTAGTTTATTCTATACATGTAGCATTTCTTTAATCATTTAAAAAATTTTTGTACAGTTAATTCCAAAAGCTATAGGGTCAGGGAGTATCATCACATATTATGAGATGCCATGCATGCAAAAAGCAAATTTATTGCCTCTAAACTAAAGTTGAAATTAAAGGGATAATAACTCTTCGTATGAAATCTATATTTCACAATAAAAACATTGTAAATAACTCATAGAAATATAATATATTCTGTTTTACGACGAAAACGGCAATTATAGCTATTATTCTGATATCTGAGCTTGTCTTCAGATCACGTGACCTCCATTGATGGCTATACTCTGCTATAACCTCTTAAGAGATTTTAACAAAAAACCAAACTTTTTAGAAAAAAAACAGGGACTAAATTTGAATGTAAAAATGGATTCATTAACCATTGGTAAGTATGGGAAAATTGTTGTTTACTCCAGGAAAATTCATTTTTTGGCCAAAACGAAGAGTTATTATCCCTTTAAGCTGCATTAAAACGATAATTTTATTTTATAAAATAATGCCAAACGCCATACAAATTGACCATATTTTATTGCTGGTGCAAGGCCATTTTGCTCAGTTCCTAATACTTGACAAAAATTGACATAATAGAATTTTGAATTTATATCTACTCCAGAAAATAACTTTTAAGCTTTTAAACCTTGTACATGCACAAAATACTGACTTCACTAAACGTAACCAATCTGACAACTGAATGCTGGAATAATGATTTGACATTCTGTCATTTTACAGCTTACTGCCGAGGGGTTTGCAGAAATACTACAAAAATTAAAAAAATTGCAGAATTCTGATGTACAGTAGAACTCGCATATCACACAGTATAATAAAGTGGACACACATCTAGAATGACAACACTGAATCTGCAAGTCATGGTCCTGTCTAGTGACAAAGAATTGTTAGAGCATATGACAGACTTCACATGTAACTGACAATTATAACAAGTCCTTATCAGCATGTAATATGCCAGGTTTACTGAACCAAGCAAATTAAAAAAAAAACATTTGTTCTTATTTCACTTCCTTTGGAAGAAAGATTTTACTGGTGCAGTTGTCATTTAAAAAACTTATTTTTCCCAGCTGGGAGTACTTTCAGATAAGAACTGTTCCACTACAACTTGAATTTGTTAAAAGCATGATTTCATGGAATTAAAAAGATTCTGTCTGTGCCTAGAGTGAGATATCTTACAGACACTTGGCCTAAAACACTATCTTTTTTAAAAGTAGAAGTGCTCTCTATTGTGAAACATTTCCATCATCTTTACTGTCATCCTTCTCAGCAACTTTCTCCGCCTCTGCTTCTTCATTAATTGTTTCATAAGTAGGTTGAGGTTTGACATCTGCATCTAAAGTCTCACGCTGAGAGTCTGTCAACTTAGCCATAGCTGCATAAAAATCTGAGAAGTCCACATAGGGTTCGATTCTCCCATCTTCATCTAACTCAATAGTGTGGTGGATGCTCCTGTTTCGATAAGAATTGAACAGTCCCTGATCTCCACTTTGAGTGGAATCATTGCTGCTGGTATATGTACTGGTATATGCACTAGAGCGAGTGCTCTGAAAGGTCCCAGACATCACAGTGTTAGTATTTGTACCAGATAATGTCTTATTCAAAGCACCCAAGGGGGCTCCAACCTGGAAAAGTGCCTTGGCAACAAATATGGGTTTTGTCTGTAATCCTCCAGGGGTGGCCTCAATATTGTTATTATTACTAGGGAATACTGATGGGGACTCATTATTACGTGCCTGATTGTATGGGCCTGAAAGTGGAAGATGCAATCCCCCTGATGTAGGACTGCTCAGAGCATTGGGCAACGGGTGGTTGAAATTCCTCACCAGCAATGTCATGTCATCTCTCTTTTGACACAACTGTTTGACATCATTTGATGCTGTCATGAAAGAGTCATGATGGATACGAACAATACGATCGATAACAGCCTGAGCGACTCCATTCAGAGTCGACTGGACTGAGAACTCTGAAGCCACCATTGATGCAATATCTGCATTAACATGCTGTGTGCCTGTTGCATCGACCAGCGTATTGTACACTCCATCTGTCATAAGTATGAGGAAACTGCAGGATTCATCTAACTGGATAGAACATACCTCTGGTTCTGTTATCACTGGTTCTGACACTGCAGGGCTAAAACATAATTAAAATGGTTAGCAACTTAGCACTTAATATCTATCAGACACTTTTCTCCTCCTATATGTACAGTATATTTATTTCATCATCTGAGTGTCATGAATGCTGATGCCAACTTATTATAATTTTTTAATGTTTCAATTGTTTTTAAATTTTTTCTCTAAGTTCAGAAGAAGGATCAACATGAAAAAAAAAAACATATTTGGGGAAGGAAATAAATAATTTTTCACAATAAGCAGGATATACAAGTGTTTTATGATATAGTCTCCTCTACCATGAAATATACATTATAAAATTTTCATTTTGTGCTTGACTGACAGATAAAGCAAATAATAACAGCAATGCATCTATATAAAACAAGAAACAAATTTATCTGGCATTGCATTAATTTTGCTTAATCTAAAACAATTTGTTTCTTGACATTCATGCACTTCCTGCTGCTCAATTGGGGGAAGGGGGGGGGGGGTAATAAAGTGCAAATTCATCTGAAAAAATATTTATAAAAATAATAATTGATAACTAAGTACCTTAAGATTTCAATATCTTTGTAACCACCCTTTACACTGTAATCACCAATACACCTGGTGTACACTTCATGATTGCCAAGTTTTCTACTGTGACAAAGCTTCTCAGGGTCAAGTCCTAGCTGGGTCAGCCTCTGGATCTCATCTTCGTTAGCTAGAGTGTGGTCATTGGTCAGCTGGGTGACCCTCAACATTCCTTCTGGGCTCCTTTTACAAACTAGTGCTCTGGAGTTTCCTGTAACAGTTATTGAAAACTACAAATAATTTTCCTGTTGTGATCTGAGTCCTCATTTTCATCTGATAATTCTTGGGCTTCATATTCAATTAATCAAGATTGCAAATAAAAAAAAATGCTTTATTGTTGAAGAATGCAGTCCAATTCCTGTCTTACAATGAACTGTTTTTCAGAAAAAATAACATTGATTGTAAGTCATAGATAAAATTTTATATGCTCACATTTTGTAGAATAAATGCAGAGTAAAATACCTAAAAAGTTCCCAGCTTTCATCATGAAATATCTATCATTGATGTTATCCTTAAACAATCCCACTCCCAAGGTTATACTTCCATATTATATAATACTTACCTACATTGGCCACAGAGAGTTTACTATCTCTAATCAATGCAATAGTTGCTGTGGTTCCTCCTGCTATCTCCATATCAAGTCTCTGTAGCTGGTCTACCAAGTCGGGAAACTGCCTAGCTGCATCATATCCACTAATACCCTGTAATATAGTGTAGTACTAATAAAACTATACACCAACTTTTTAAAAATCAATATAATCCACAGCTGGTTTTAAATTCTAGGAATGGTTGTGTTTTGTTTCCGCTACTATTTAACTTAAAGGCACCATCTACGACCATCTACCAACAGATACAAATGTGATGAGAAAAAGACCGAAATCAAAAACCATAGACAGAATAATCTTTTCAAAGGTAATATTTAATTTAATCTCTGGGTGATTATAGCCTACCTCAGGTAGCTGCTGGTGGACATGAATCCTTTGAACAAGAAAATCTTCTATAGACTCAAAAAAACCTTTTTCCACTGCATTGAAAGCCTAAAAACAAAAAATAAAAACCTTTTCTTTCAGAACAATTTGTATCTATGTACACACAAAGTGTAGTACAGTATGTGGCAAGGGAATGCATCAAAACATACATTGTACTTTGGCTACAGGCCATAGATCTTACTAGACAACAAATACCTAAATTACCTAAAATTGCCAAATTTGGTTGTCCTGAATCAATGTTATTAGTAATGGACCAAGCTTGACCAACAGGGTTTCCTAGAGTGGGGTTTGTTTTTATTGACTACAACCCCTCCCCCAACCCTCCTAAATCTGCCACTGCGTCTGATCCATCAAGTTCAAAATGCTGACCAAGTTCAAAATGCTTACTATATCCAATTAGAGTTTCATTTGTCAACAGCTATGGAAAAAAATGAACTGAAATTTAAAACTAAGCAAATATTGACTGGCAAATGAACTTGTATTTGCTAATTGAAAACACTTAATAAAACTTAATGTGACTGCTCAACAATGACCAACTAGCTTAACAGCCCTTCATCAACAAACTGTTATTATAAAATAGTGAAGTTGATCTATATTGATTATTTTCAACATATGAATCCACAGTTGTCTGATGACAAGGTTTGATAACTACAACATCATTCGCCAAACGCCAGTGTGGGGAACACAATGAGACTTCAACAAACCTGCTGCAAAACTTCTTTAATCCCTTCATCAGTTGATTTCCCGTTAAGCTGTCCCAGTAGCAGCTCTGCTGGCATTCTCTGTGCAGCAAAATTGGAGGCCCTGGCGCCATCATGGCCATCAAACAATCCATACAGGTATACATCATCAACCCTGTGGAATATAGTACACTGAGTATCTATTTTGATCTGACAAAACATAAATAGATCATGATGCCTGTCAAGTATATACTAAATACATTTCACTATATTGTCAAGTCTAACTTGAGAGCAAAAAAATATCAGTACTGCAGTACCTTGTTTTATCAAATAAACCATACATATCTAAGGCTAGAAGCCAATAAAATGATATTGAGATTTAATACATTATTTTAAAAGTCACAAGGAACTTTCCAATGTTAAATAAAAAAAAATTCTTGTGACATCATTCTGGATCCAATCCAGATGAAATACATTTTTGTGAGTACAGGCCCCCACCCTATTTAATGTACAGTATGGGTGTTGAATTACAAAACAATCGATGAACAAATGTTGGAGATATGATTTTTTGAAATTTCGCACATTGTTATCCTATGTGTTTTTTTTATAATTTCAGGATTTCTTATTCAAAATAAGATCCTGATCATCACCAAAATTTGGTCAGATCTGGCTACTAGAACAATAATTATCTCTAAAAAATGAGAACAATAAATTCATTATTGGGAGCCAGAGAGTGCTAACTAAAGGATCCCAAAACAATTTCCTTGTTGAATGAATTGTAATCAATGGCCACCTGAAATGGAAACTTCTATCCTCAAACTCATGCTCCTCTCTTCGGAAGCCGTCTTCCCTGTAGATCTGGTTGGTGGAAAAACCAACTCCTGACAAGTAACATACTGGGAGGTCATCTGTCCAACTTGTAGGCTGGTCCTGTAGGAAAATAAACTAAATTCTATGAGACGCAGGATGATAGTGTACAATGGAGTGATTTATATAATAGTGCACATAAAAATAAATGGTTGTTAAAGAAACTAACAGCGAAGTGCACTGTCTACATGTACTTTAGTTTCGGTTCTATAGCACTCGTGACGAGAATATTCACGTCGCGGGACCCATTTTAGTTAGAGCACAGACAACAAAATAATTCGACATTAAGCAGTTGGGTATGTACAAACCTGCAGCCCAACTCTAGGCGGTGTTGTCCTCTCGTGAGATGGCATGTCAAATGGTACACAGACTTGCTCGTAAATAGCTAGAAATTCACATTGTTTTGAGAAGTATTTTTGTTTTCATTAAAGCGACATTTCCGGAAACTACCTATTGCGCAAACTCCAAAGTTCCAGCTGTAAACTTCCGGCGTGAAGGTGATGCACGTGAAAACGTTCTCACCCTGGAAAAAACAGTAGTGATAGCTGTAAGTATATGAACTGAACATGAAGAATGGATGAGCTGCTTGAGCTGCGACCCAGGCAAGCAGTGCATGTCTAAATTCACATCTCTTCTTGTCATTTTTACAAAAGTTAATTTTCACCCCCCCCCCCTTTTTTTTTTTTTTGGGGGGGGGGGGGGTACACCTGTACGTCAATTGTTTTCCCCGCGCGTTAACAATTATAAAATTCATAACCATACAAATTCATAATAATATCATTCCAGAGACGATAGCCTTAATGGCTCATCGAAAGGAAGTGCTGTCTTTGTATAGAAGAATCCTACAACTAGCAAGAACTTGGGAATCTGTGACAGCTGATCCAAAGACAACAGCAGATGAGAAACAATTTATCAAAGATGAGGCAAAACAATTATTTCGCAAAAACAAATTTGTATGTTATACATCAGCCTTTGTATCTTATAGATAAAAACTACGATAATGTAAAAGGTTTGGACTGAGTTATATAATCCTGACAGCACTGGATTAATTCCAATTTTCTGTATTTAGCATTTCAATTTACATTTTATTTTACTGAGCAGTGCAATGTTGGAGAGGATGCCTTCATAGTGCATGCATGCTATGTAAATTGCACATACATTGAAATTAAAGATCTTTTCTGCCAAATTTAGCTCATACCTGCTATATGTCAGACTATAGTAAAATAGTTACCATCAGAAAGTAAATTGTATTGGCAGAAGAAATTATGGGGCATAGCATTGAATTAACATACTTGTCAGTTGCATTTATCAAAATAAATATGAAAAAAGGCATTGATTATCATATTTATCAAAATAAATATGATAATCAATGCCTTTTTTTTTTGTCACGCCAATAGTTTCCAAAAGTTAAATTAATATGAGAATATACAGGGAAATTATCCTTTTGTGAGGTGCTTTTCTTTATGTAACAACTATATTAGTCAGTTTCATGGAACTTGAATTTCTTTACAGATATCAGATGAAAAAGAAATTAAAGACTGCATGAAGGAAGCAGAGACAAGAATAGAAATGGGTTTGTCAAAATATCATTTATAATAATTACTGTTGATTATATGTGTAATATGTTTGGTTCATACATTTAACAGGACATGCTCATGCATTTAGCAGTACTTTTAGTCTTTTTATCACTTACATGAGTTTTGACATTTAATTACATTCAGGCACACTTGATTATAAAAAATGTTATACTAATACAATTCCACAAATCTTTTATTAAATATAGCACTAGTCGCAAATGGCTTCTACAGCAGATCAATAGAAAAAGTGGAGCTTTCCACTGTCAGATTTTCTAACTTAAATTGGAGATCTGATTTTTTTCTTGGCAGTTTTTTGGCTGAAAAGACCCAGTCATTAGGCCACCAAGCCATTTCTTCTTACTTTTTTCTGTCAACCAAAACTTATGAAGCCAGATTTCCTATTATTTGATATGCTAAAGATAGGAAACATGTTTCTGAATCAAGAGAAAAAAATTTCAGCCCAGTGATAAGACCACCTAACTTAAAGAAAAAATTCCTTTCATTTCCCTGATATATGTACTTTTTTCAATATATTTTGCTTTCCCCAACTCTGTGAGATGACTGTAAAGCCTTAGTAAGCTTCAGATCTGTTATAAAAAGCATGTTTGCAGTCAGTGATAAAGATACTATATGTTGTGCTGTACAAATTACTTTATCATTAGTAATTGATTAGCTTCTTTTTTCTTTCAGCATTGCATTATAAAATCCCTTATGCAAGAATGGTATGTACATGTAGGAACACAATGCTTGTCAGGCAAAATATGCATCCTCATCAAAAACAATATAATTTCATAGTCTGCAGATATTTCTCTTGTGTCAGTATCTGTTTCATTATTTGCACATTAAATTTAAAAACGAATATTGAAGAAACCAAGAACAGATTTAATCAGTAGGTAATGTCATTAAGATTATCATCTATGGGTCGTTTTGTATTTTGCTCATAATTTGAAAATTTTTGATTTTTCATTTCCCAAATTAAAGTAGAAATCCTGTTTTTTAGGTGAATTTTCCCCAGCATTCTGTATTGCCTCCTGGTCCTGGAAGAAAGAAAGGGAAATTGGATAAAAAACTTATTCAGCAGTCTAAACCAATTTATGTTAAATCCTTAGATCCAGATAAAAGCTAGCAGTGTTTAATAAGGGTTTTCTTTTCAACGTGGAAAGCCTTGAGTAAGAGTGCTTCCATATTTATATTGTATTTATTATACGAGGCATTGATAAAGACTCTTAAAGAATGAAGAATGAGCCTACAGTGTGATGTGTGTACTTTCATTATTTTGCCCAAGGAGGTGATATATGAGAAACTTGTGACAAGAAAAATTGGAAAATGTTTTCATGTTTGAGTTCTGAAACCAGCATGCCATAAGCTAGGTATTATATAAGTCAATGTAACAGTTTTGTTGTACTAAGTAATATGCCAGTTTGCATCACATCTGGCAGGATCTCTGTTACGAAATGCAAAAAAGTGCTTATGAATTTTTTTCATCTAAGGACCTTTTTTGTGTGTGTGTGGGGGGGGGGGTGCAATTAAATATTTACTGTATGTACCGTATTCTGTGCGAAGAACATGAAAAGATGTAACTTAAGTAATCCAGTATTTTATTTGCAGAACTTAAATCCTCATTTGTATCTAAAAAGATATTACATTTGCATTCTCATGAAGTTTTGATGTACTCCATGCATATGGATGCAGGATAAAGTAATGTTGCTTTTATGGCATCTGAACACCGGGAGCACCATCTGGTGGCAATATGACCCACATGTACTGATATTCTTTGATCATTTTTTGAATTGAATGAGGAGCATTGCAACTGTTATTTTGATTCTGTTTCCCAATCATAACAATTAGCCTGGATTTTTGTAGATGAGTCACCAGGTGTTCTGTATCGTAATGAAATGTTAAAACTCACTGAATTATAAATCAGACATGAGCCTAGGTTTCCAAAAAAAATAAAATAATAAATAAATAAATAAATAAACAAATAAAAAACCTCTGAACATTTATCATGGTACCCACCCCCCAGATTTTATTGCAGATCTTGATGAATCTCAGGAACCATCAGAATTGAATTACAATATGCGGAATTCCGAGTTTCCACAGAAAAAGCTCATGTCTGATAAATGACATGTACATAGTGTTAGTACATAGTATTAAATAAAACACAATAACAGCATTAGAAAGTTGTAAGCATCCTTTATTTCTTTTCTCAGGTGCTTGCTGGGGAAGTTACAAAGTTGGCAACAATTGAAGTGTATGTACAAAATACCAAGCAAAACTACATAACTGTAAACTATGCCTATATAGATTTGAACTAAATTATCAACAGTGTGGCTCCCCAAAGAAATCTATGCTTATTGTTCACACTTGTAATCTGTCTGTATTCATACTATAGCAATATATTTCCTTCTATAATGCATAAATATAAGTCAAGCTGAAAAAGAAGAATGAACAAAACCAAATATAGATGAAAACCTACATTTTTAAATGTACAAAATAATACAGAACTTATTTAACATTACCAAGACTGGTATTTCACTAAAACAAGCATTAAAACTTTATTGAAGCTTTTTAAGTAGTATTTTTTTTTTTGTTGAATCATAAAAAGCTAGTAGAAACTTGGCTGCATGCAAAGCCATAATGTGAGCATCATACCACGGAAATCTTCCAGGGACTTGGCTGCCACTGCTGTAAATAAACCCAGTGTAGCTTTGGTCCAGTTTGTCCAGGGCTTCACAACACAGAAAAAAAAAAAAAAAAAAGTCTAAAGTCATCTTTTGAAGTAGTTAGAGTCAACCTGGTAAGCATTGGTTCCACTTGCATGAAACTTGCTTTTGGTAAAATAATTAGATGGTGTATAAACTATATGAAACTCTGGTCAACTGGATAATTCTGAGCCAATTCTGGTTTATTTTCGGTGACAGCTAAGACTATTGCACATAATCAACCAATGCAGTACAGTGGCAATAATACATACAGACTTAGTATTAAGTACTCTTCAACAACGTTCACATACAAGGACACTTATTGTAATGGTAAGGAAAAAAAAGTAATAAAATAGAAAATGAGTTACAATTCTGATGGGACTTGCCCAGTCAAAAACGGTGTTCTTACTGTGCATGGCCCAGCCCATTCTATTTAGCGTACCCTCAACATTAAACTTATACAAAATACACACATAACAGAAAAATGTCATGTCATAATTCATAGTTAGTCTTAATCATCTACAGGTCTGCAACATACTTTGTATGATCAGAGGTTTATCTTTGGGACAAGGCCACCTAGTGGAGGCACAGTGTACTACCTACATGCAATATGCTGCATGTTATGATAATCTCATTTATAAATGTGCTTACAAGGGCGGCATTACTTTTGTCTGACAACCAAAATCTAATACGTTTTTTATTATTTGATCCCTTGTTTGTTGGTCAATGTGTTAGTCTACCAACAAGAAACCACACCCTTGTAATTGTCCCACTCCAATTTGGAAGACTGGTCTGCACCACCATCACTATGCAATACACTCTACAGATGGTTTCTCTACTAAGATCTGATCTACAAAACATTTTTGGAATGAACACTGGAATATGTAAGCAGGCAGAGTCGTGGCACCATATCTTAAGGTACATTTATATACAAGTACAAAATAGTACCCTCTTCCCAGCAATTGCAATATCACTCGGTCCCCACAAAAATAATGGACGTAAAAGGTGTGTTACACACTTTATAAAATTGATCTAACTAGCATTGCATCATTTCCACTAGGTTACTTGTGGTTCATATTTGAGTGAGAGCATTGCAAGATCAGATAATCATGTTGAGAAGGTTATTTTAAGAAATGGTGTCAAAGACTTCATTTGCCTTTGAAAAAGAAGTTGGCTTGAAATATGGACCCCAAACCACCCAGATTATTTGCAATGGTCCAATGGCATGACTTGTAATTAAATGGTTAAGCAGTTATCAGTCAAGTGATATTCCATGCAGTGCAAACATGTATCACTGTTACTCAGTATGTTCAAGTAGTTTACTGAGTAAAACATATGCACTGGTTGGAACTTCACTTTACTTAAATTACCTCCTATTCCTAACTATGAACTACAACATATACAAATAATAATAAATACCAAATGCACTGGATAAGTTACAAACATGAACTATATAATAATATCTTAGTTTGATGATATAATTGAGAAAATATACAATGACAAGAAGCTTTCAAAGCTGTATTTTTGTTTTTTTTTAAATAGTAATCTATATCTTTCTTCCCCTCCTGCAGATATATATTCTCATACAAGTATTTTTTAAAAATGATATACAGAAGAAAAAAAGAAAGGATGACGATGATGCAGATAAGTTTGGAATGTTGGTCAGACTTGAAGTGAGGAGTCTGACCTGCAGGGGAGTGGGAAGACCATGAAAAATGGCAAAAAGGAAAGAACACTTGGACTACAGGTATCATTTTTGAAACAAAAAAATCTATTTCTGATAATTAAGCTAAGTGTGACTATACAGCAATTAAAACAGGAACAGAGGCTTAGCACCAGTGGTGGCATGCAAATTTGCTGCTGAGCTATGGGTTCCACAATTCAGTACATACAAAAAATTTACTGAGAATATTATTTAGTTCCAAGAAATATGCCCTTAAGGGTTTTTTAAAACACTCAAATCAGTAATTAAATTAAACCACCAGTATCTGGTTAAGAAATTAAATAAGTTTGTTTCAGTAATACAAAGGTTTTTACAGTACTGATTTTTTTTCTATTTGGAACGAGGTATCGACATTCTTTATTTTGCAAAGAAAGGCACATGCTGTAAAACTGAAACTCCTGGAAAGTCTGCAGCAAGAAAGGAATGCACACGCCCACACATCTGCCAAGTTATTGGCAGTCATTAAAAAGAAAATGAACAGACAGTTGCAGTTGCCACAGCAACAACAATAATAAACAAGCAATATTATATATAAATTATTCATTAACACTTAATTTGTCAGATTTTAATTGATAAACTTTTCACACCTTTCAACTTTTCTTTTTTTGAAAAAATGCTATATATATTTTTATATTTAACACTTGAAACAGAAAACAAAAAAGTCTTACTCTTACATAGCTTATTCTGCTAATAACTCTGACCATAGCTTTGCAATGGGTCCATCAAAATCCTGTATTTTATCAATTAGGTCATAATATTAACATCATTTAGTTTCATCTTTTCTAGTTGGTCCATACCTGTCTTATCCATAACAAAGAAAATGGCTATATCTTCTATCAGCACCATATAATAATGTACACATTAACATCTTAAACAGTCCACCTTCTATTTGTAATACTAGGACTGCAAGCTGTAAGAGTAATAATGAAAATCGACTTTCTACATATAAGGGTTTGTTCCACCCTATTTTAATGTGTGCCTGATGAGGTGGCACTTTCTACCAACCGATCCCAATTCATGCCACTCTCAAGTCCTGTGGGAGTTTGGAAATCAGATTCATCTAAGTTAAACAATTCCATAACATCTTGGGGTTTTGGTGTAAGAATAGGGTCAGAAGGGAAAGCCACTGGTGCAGTGGCACTGAGTGGTGTCAGTCCCGTGTTTGGCATTATCACATCCAACCAATCAGACACGTCCATATTCATGGACTCTTCGGCATTGTCATTAAGTCCCAATGCAGCCAAGTTTGGTTCTGAGCCATGAAAACTCGACCCTGATCCTTGGCCGCATTCTGCACTGGATGGAACATTAAGCAAACCATGCTGATCACACTGGTCTGTTTTAGGGTCTAAGCTCCTAAAGCCATCTGGCAACTCAAGAGACACCAAATCTGTGTCCGCACCATCCCAGTCCATTGATGGAAGGTCAAAATGGTCACTAAATTCACTGACCAAGTCCCCAGTGTTAATGGCATCAGGTATAGGCCCTGGTGAGGAAGAAATGGATGTGATATTCAATGGCGGTGGGGCCTTCTTGCCACTTCCATTGCCTCCAGGAGAATGCACCATTTTGACTGGTGACCCCCCAATTGTCACTGTTGTTGGAGATGTTATTGCCGGTGATGACGTTGTAGTTGTGATGTTGTTATTATTGGTAATGCTGGTACTGGGAATAGCCACCATGAAGGCTGGAGTCTGTGCGGTGACTACGATTGCACTGGAGGGTACTGTTGTTGCTACTGTGGAACCAGCAGTTGCCACGGTTCCCGTCTGAGCAAAAGAGCTGATTGCTGGCATGCTGATGGAGTGACCCAGGGCTTGAGTTTTAGGGGTTGGAGGAGGCTCTTGAGCAGCATCTGGGGGGAGTTCTATCAGAAAAATAAAAAAAATAAAATAATAATGAGAAGAAAAAACAATGGTAGAAATAATTGCAAAAACATTAGCAATAAATATATATGGGACACACTGGATTAAAAAATTGATGTATTAAAGTTTGTCGTTAGCTTCAGCTGTATATCTTTTGCATCAATCTTAAACATAATTCCAATAACTAAGTATTTAAGTCTTCCTTAGTTATCTTATGTATTCAAAAGGAAAATCTTAATCCATGGATCAATCCTAGCTGAATCAGATAAGACTTGCTGTTTTTTACCTCCAGATCTGATAAGTATTTCTAGCACATCATCCATCTGTTGACTCTGAGTCTTGGTAGCAGCAACAGCTGTTGGGGCAGGACTGGCTGCAGTGCTGTTGCTATTTCCACCATCCACATTAATAGGTGATCCCTGGAATATACAAAATTGTTCAGTTCGATCCAAAAACCAAATGAATTTTTGATTGGCTCAAGCCATATGAACTTTTGTTCCAGCAAAATTTTCAGACAGACATTTCTGAATTGGCATCACCAAGATATTTGCAAAAGTTTAACATTTTTTTTGATTAGTTTTCTTTTACCATTGGTGAATTTTCATGTGCAAGTGTACACATGGTCTTGGTTAAAGCAAAAATAATGGCAAATGATGCAGGTCTCCGTTTTTATGGAGAGACATGACATTTACAACTAATGTAGTTGCCATGGTATCAGACCAAGCCATTATCACTGCACTTAGGTATTATCAGCACAAATGGGCCTCGGTAAATACCAGAACTGCTTAAGGGATAAACAAAATGAAATTATGAATAATCTTACAATGAAAAACATGTTGGCTCCTTCAAAAATGACTGTAAAGAATGTTACCTGTCTGTTTTTGACAGCATCATCATATTTTGGTGGCTCTCGAAGAGGAATTAGGAATGGTCCTGATAATGTCTTGCTGGCAGGGGTTTTGTTGAAACCACTATTGGTTGGTGAATTAGGCACAGATGATGCTCTAAGAAAAAATATGAATAACTTTTACTCAATTTCATTTACTTCATATATGAAATGAACAAAACTGTTGAAGTAAAATCTCTCAACTTTCAAAACAAAGCCCCCATTATTTCTTCCTCAGAATTTGTATTCTATATTGTGTGAAACAAGGCATCAGGATTTTCTCTACAGAGACAATGAGAAATAGTTTCTCTCTTCTTTAAACATATTTCAAAAACCTGGGACATTGTAGCAGAATGCAGTGTGTAAATACTAAGGTCATGCTGGGAGACAAAATGTACTCCTTGCTGTTGTTTTTCTTGTGAATTTCTCCCACGATAAGCTGTCAGCAAGTAGTTTTGATACCTGGAGTCAATTTATTAGAAACATTCTTTTTTAATGCTTTATCTGATACTCCTACTAAAATTAGCTTTATGTGTAAAAGACAGGAACCTTCTAATTGCGAGGATTTTGACAAAAAAATGATCAAGTTAAATTCAATGGTGGTATTATTAAAACAAGATGTAAATGTAAAACAACAGAGCTCTGCAATAACACCTGAGGTGATTTGAGGACTTCAATTTAAAGAAACACTCCATAGCCATCTTTAAAGGGGGAAAAGTGAAATTTCTAGTTATCAACATGTTAACATGTTTTTCTTTATCAGCATGAAGTATTTTCTTAAATTTCCCAAAATCGAAATAGATACATAGGTATAATGAGGCTATCTGAGAAATAGGAAACGCATCTCCAGAATATAATAATGACCCTGTACACCTGCTCCAAAATTACCTGACACCTAGTCCATCTAGCCAACATTAGCCCAAATACCTGAGCTTGCCTAACTATTGCTATTTCATTTTCCAAGGCACTTTATTTAAGACTTCAACCGCAAGCCTTGGATGTCCGACAGGTTTTAAACTGGTTCTTGGCTGTTGAGATTGTGGCTTGGGGCCCCAAGTACAAACAGAATAGACAGACTACGTGTAGAGAAAAACAGGCCTTGGAAGAATGCTTCAGCATACCAAACAAGACTAATGTCTAGCATGAACCTCAGAGTAACAGGTGTGTAAGATAACATAAATAATGAAGGACTATCTTTAATATGCAATTCTCAATCTTTTTTGATGGATGTGAGCGAGGCCTCTTTTCACATCATACAAGCTTGTGGAGATTTTTATAGACTTGGTGCTTGGCAACATTGTGTTAACAACACTTAGGATACTTGCCTAAAGAACCTGGTACTGGATTTACCCCTAAATCAGGTCTTTTCAACTTAACACTTGTATACATAGCATCTTTAGTTTAGTACCATGCCAGTATACTAGCTAATTCAAAATAGCCACAAACAAGTAGGGAACACAGCCAAGAGCAAAATAATTATTTATTGGCACTGATACAAAGTTGGCCAAACCCATAAGCAATGCAAATGTACAGTAGTAAAAGTTCAGTATGGGCTAATTGTATAGACATACATACCTGTTCTGACTCAATCCATTGACTGGAACAGTTGTAGTAGCAGCACTGGTGCCAAGTTTGCCCACAACATTGATATTCATAGCATCCACAGGTTTGGAAGTGAAGACCAGCTGCTGACCATTGAGTCCAGTTGTAGCAAATAGTACCTTGTGTTGTCCCATGTTCAGGCTATCATGTAGAGACTGAGGCTGAATGAAGGTTACATTTGGTTTAGCCACTACTGCAGGACTGCTTGTACTGGACGAGATTGTGATACTTGGAACCACTTGGGTTTGGCTTGTATTGGCTTGTGTGACAATAGGTGGTGCTACAGTTTGTGTCAAAGCTGCACTACTACCACCACTGCTGCTGGTAGCATTCAACAGGGACTGTTGCTGCTGTAGCTGCTGAACAAGCAGTGTCTGCTGCTCGTGTTGCTGCTGAAGCAGCCTCAGCTGAGATTCTTGCAGTTTTCTTTGCAACTCTTCAATTGTCTTTTGCTGCTTTGCAACAAGTTCCTCTGTGGTGGCTGTCACACTGGACAGATTAGACACATTTGAGGTGTTTGACACACTACTGTAACCGCTAACTTGGGAATCAATAGATGGTGGGCCATTGAAACTCATGTTCAGGTCCACATCCATGGACTCCTGTGGTGCCACAGATGGTGGACGGGAAGCATCTATGGCCATTGGAATCGAGCTCTGACTGGCACTTGTAAGACTGTTCTTTTTCATGGGTATCCCCCAGGTAAATGCTGTTGGTGATGTAATGGACATGTCTAGGTCATCTGGAGACATGGGCGTGGCCACTGACTGGTTCAGTTCAGACAGTTGGTCAGGGGAGATAGGCGGAGAGGACATAGACACATTGCCTGCCTCATCAGCACTGTTAGGGATCTTCTGTGGTTGTGGCTGCGTTTGGGGTTCCTGCTTGATCACCAGCTTAGGGGGAAGTTTGGACTGTTGTGAGTTAGTGCTAGCACTCAATGTTGTACCAGCAGACTGTACACCAGTGGTAGAATTCTCATTCCATGCACTGAGAATGGAATCTACATAGGGCTTTAAGCGTTCTATTAAGTGTGGCTTGGACCCAGACACCGGTAGATTTCTCTTTTTCAACTCTGCCTTCAGATCAGCCACTTTCAAATCTTCCAGCGTTTTAGGTTTAGGTTGCTCTGATGATTGCTGTGTTGAATGGTGTGGACTAGCCTGTTGTGGTTTTGTCTGTTGAATGGGTTGAGACGATTGCTGTTTCTGTGATTGATGCTGCTGCTGATGCAACTGCTGTTTTAACTGCTGAATTTGCTGCTGTTGCTGCTTTTGTTTTTGCTGTTGTTGCTGTTGCTGCTGCTGCTGAAGAGCTACTTGGTTATGTATTTGAGGTGGAGATTGCAGAGGCAGCTGTTGAGGAGATGGCTGGTGAACTTGAATCTGAAGTTGTTGCTGAGGTTGCTGCTGCTGCTGTTGTTGTTGTGGAGATGGTGGTGGAGGTTGTGGAGATTGTATTGAAGCCACCTGCTGTTGCTGCTGCTGTTGTTGTTGTTGTTGTTGTTGTTGTTGTTGAGATTGTTGCACAGATTGTGTTGTTCCACTTGCTGTCACTGCTGCAGGTGTGTTATTCAGTGTCACTGTACCTGTCTGTGTTGCTGCCTGGTTAGCTGGAGACCCCTCCGCAGCACCACCGGCCTGTTTAGCAGGCATCAGCATCATGTTCCTCTGCTGGAACTCAAGTTGCCACTGCAAGAACAACTGCTGCTGTTGTAGAAGAATGTGATAAGGAGTTTCTGCATTGCTGCTGTTCTGCTGGTTTTGTTGCACCTTGGATGCATTTGGTGGACCTTTATATTCATGGAATTTGATTACCTTTGATTTGGTGGCTGGTTTTGGTTTGGCTTTATTTTTCCTGTTCTTTGAGCTCCCACTGGAATTATAATTGGACTTGGAGGAGGAGTTAGAGGAAGATGAGACACCTGCTTGGGTGACTGTGTTGTTAATTGGAACAAATGACTCAGAGGTGATAGGAGGTCCATTGAAGGTAAAGCTTCCACTGCTGTTCTGGATCTTCTGCATGAAGGACCCCAGTTCTGGTGGTGATGGAACAGACGAGGAACCCCCAATTGAGGCCTGTGTGTTTGTATCAGAGTCATCAGCCGTGGACGGTGATGGAACCCCCTCACTGTTACTGTTATCGTCCTCTCCAAATACAAATAGATTTGAGTCATCAGTGCCAACTGATTCACAGGTCTTATGGAAAGATATGGAGCCATCTGGAAATAAGAAAGCGAATGAATCAAATTTGTTATATCCAGGCAAAAAAAAAAAAAAAAATCCAAAAAATTTTGATTCACTATAGAATTACAGTAGATTTTAAGATCAAAGCACTCTGAAAATAAGGTATACTCCTGGATTTGTAAGCACCACTCCAGAAAATGTATCCCCGATACCTCCCTAAGCGTGTTCCTATATCTCTGAATACCCTGGTTACATGCTGTTAAAACAAGGAACACATAACTTTCATGTAGAGACCTACCAGAAACTATAACAAATATACAGGGTGTATAAGAATTTATGTCAATAACTTTCTTTTTTTTTTTTTTTGATAAATGACTAAGAAACAGGATCTTGAGCAAATTCAGTCTGCCATTTTATCTAATAATATACCATGTGCAAGTATCAACTTTTCACATGTAAATGATAAAAATGATTTGCCATGATATTTTCAGTTATGTTTTTCCCACCCTGTAATCGATAAGCAAGGGCTACAAGGACTTCCTGGAGTCACTGAAAATACAGACTTAACTTCACATGGAGAGATACAGAAAATGATTAGAAGTAATGCAAAGAACAAATCCACACCTTTGATTTTATTGATAAAACCACCCTCTGCTGGCAGGATGTTGTCTTCCACCAGTTCCAGAGGACCTGGGCGATGAGATAATTTTTCATTCAACTCATCAGCAACTCTTGCTCGCTTCAGCTGCCGCTGTTTTTCATGCAGTGATGGATCAGCTTTGCTGTCTGTATGAAACAGAACAAGAAACAAAAATAAGCACTTGGGTCATCTTACTTGTTTCTTCTTGTTTCATATGTTCTAAAAAACTTATCAAGAGTAAGATCAAAATGCAGATGTGCTTGCACTAATTGCATTAAAATAAATGTGAGCCATTGATGTGAGTAGTGTTAAATGGATAAGTAACATTAATTATAGAGTGCTTAGAAGTCTATGCTGTGGAAGTTTACCTGGAAGATCAGTCTCAACACCCACCTATCCTCCTACAGAGGTAGACACCATGCCTAACATAAAATATTACTGATGTTTAACCTTTTCTTGCATATTAACCTAGCTGTAAATAACAGGATTGCTGTCCATTATATCATCTCATCCAGGTAAAAAAAATGATCAGATCAGTTGTTAATTGTGTGGAGGTGGTATGTGGGGGAGAGGCTAAAATCTGTTTCTCAGCCAAAAAATAATGTGACCTGTGAAGTTGCTAAAAATACTTTTTAGTGTTTCATTTTTTGCAAATTCTTTCAGCAAGTAAACAACCAGTCATATTGTCAAAAGAAACAGTCTTATTCAAAATTAATGTAGAATGACTAAACACACCCCAAAATTGCATTCAAGCACTCCCCCATATTCGCTATGTAAATTTGGAATCACAAATGCTTTAAATCACATTTTGCTGATGAACCGAGAGTGTTGCCAAATTCTGAAGATGTTGGACTTCTAAGACAATCCTTCTAGAACTCGGAAGTGAAGAAATAAAGAAAGCCGATTCCTGACAGTAATATGACTTTGTACTGGCCAACTGCTGTGGGGTTAAATGTAGAGTCAGCTGCAAAAGAACATTGCCAAGGACAACAGGCTCTTGGGCAGGCTCTTGTGTCTAGAGTACTACGCAGCATCAGACAAAATGAGATGGAGTTCGCCTCAGATCTGAAGTTTGTTGTAATTAGTGGTCAAATGTGAAAGCGTCTGTGCTTAAATGATATCAAGGTACACAAGCTAGCCCCTCGATTTTTTTCTTGTGTGAAAAAATCTTAGCTAAGTGTTGCTTCTTCTTGGTTGCTCCCTTCATACCCCAAATTTTACCAACATTAAATGAACATGAGCAAATTTGTTTTCTATTCCAATGAAAACAAACATGTTTTGTCTTAAGATTCTTAAAATGTATCATAGGAGAAATCACAATAATCTGATCAACTTCTCAGGAGTTACCCTAAGTAGGAACAAATTTTCACTTCCCATAACACGCTAATCTTCCCTTAAGTCCTAAGCAGGGACTTTTCTGATCATTTCACATTAAGCCACTCTCCAGAGAGAAAGAGAGAGTGAGACAACAGCTGATGTCTTAATTACTAAAAAGCTTAATGAATTACTGTTAATTCCTGCCTGGTCACTCAGGGAAACCTATGATAGGAGGAGAACTCCGCTGTTCTATCCAAACAAACACCTGACCACAGCTTCCCTTTCACCTGCCAACAAACAACACACCTTGCAGTTGTTTTCTCTTTCACCTCCTCCTGTCTTCACCATTATACTCATTCAAGGCCCTTCTGTGTTGTATTTTTGTTCTTGCTTCAGGATTCCTTGAGAGTTAATGGTGAAATAGCAGGGGCAGAGATGAAATAGTCCCAGGCAGGCATGCTGTCCAAACACTAATCTCACTGCTGGCTGACGACAGCATTTCTTAATTAAAAGAAGGGAAGAGGGAACATACAGGTAGATTCTACAATAGGGAAGATATTACTGAATTTATATGTGATAACAAGATTTCCTTTTTTATGTATGGCAAATACCTACCCAGTGTCTTTAGGCTCACATACGCACAAAATAACCCAAATCTTTTTTATTCTTTATGATAAAGAAATGAAAATACCTTTCTGTCAGTGAAAATATATTATTCATCTGCCATTAAAACATAAAAATCCAGCGAGGTCAAACTCAAGAGGCAATACAAGAATTTGAAGTGAGTCAGATCATCACTTTTGATATGGTACACTGACAGTGGTGCACGTTGAATTATGTGCAGGTAAAAAAGATAAGAGCATTTTCACTTCTTCAGCCACACACCAAGTACAGGGCACACCAAGATATTTGAAATACATTTTAACCAATTCTAAATGTCTTATTCATGGAGATATTTTTCGCATGAGGCAACTTTCAATTTCCCAATATTAGAAAGTGTGCATGCGCACAAGTGTATGTGCTTTTGTGCTTTAACCTTACAATTCATGAATATTGTGAAATCTGGTTTTGCTTCTACCTTAGATAAAGCATTAACCTCAGTTTGGTTAGGCTTTTGAACAGACCTACGCCATTGCAAGGACAATTTCCCTGGTACATTTAGGAGCCCATTATGTACTATTTTTCTTCTGCTTAACAGAAGTAGCAGTAGTTAAGCAGGTGAAACACTCATTAATATTTACAGAACTTCAGTTTTCATGGTAGGCAGTACTTGCTCTGTATTTTCTTCAACTGGATAAGTAGCCTGAAACCACTCTGAATTTTTTACTCCACAATTGCCCTGTCTGTGGTCAACTTTAGATACACTTTATCATGGTACAAGGTTGGCTACTACTAAAAGTCCACCTATTGCAGTGATACTTTACCTGTGGCAGCTTCTATCACTGAATTTGTTTACTATGTAGTAGCTATAATGTTTTGCCTTTTTATGAATGTAGGTTGTATGCAAAACTCACCTTCTAAAATATGGTGGTCAACCAGAGACTGTCTGTCTGGACGATTCTGGATTTTGTGTCTGATCAAGTCTCCTGTCTGTAAAACAATATTCAGAACATGTAAGTTAACAGTTACTGAACATTTTTTGAAGGATTAACCTTTTCATCCTGTGTGTAAAAAATTTTCTGTAAAAAATGTGACATGCATTATGGCATCTCTTCGTGGGTGTTATTCATGTTAAAATAATAGCAAAGTACATGAATCCAATACAAAGCAATCTACTGGCAAATGGCACAAAGAAAGAAGTCCAGGAACATGACTTGGTGTTACAGTGATGCATTCTTGCACATGGCTGTCAGCTGATGTGGAGGAAAACCTACCGCAAACTCAGTTTACTTTCAGTCCATTCATGTCCATAAACTTCCATGTCATTATAAATACACAAGTCTGTCCCGCATGCTTAAGTGCTTTACTGCCTACTGTTCTTGTCAATGTACAATCATCAACATAGGCCAATGTGCTGATTACATGAACAGTTATCTAAACAAACAAAATCCCTATCAATTCTTTTCTCCTTTCTTTATCCTTTTTTTTTTTTTAATTTGAGTTTCCCTTAGCTCTTACAAGATATTTCCCATAAATTTACAAAATTAGTGTTAAATAAACGTCCCAATTCCCTTTCTGTACTTGTCTGATGTCAGTGGTGATGTCACTTAAGACCTATTCCTGGCAAGCAGACAAGTACTCCCCAAGTTAATATCAACAATGTAAATTGATTATACCTCTGTGCTGATTGCAATTAACAACAAATTTACACCACAGACCAATCTGACCAAAAGTCAAAACATTTAAGACTGATAATGTGGGTAAATGTGCTTCAATGGGAATTTTCAATCTAAAATCCATTTGTTAATTTTCCTCTGTGGTACCATGATTACCATGTTTACAATACGTTTTCCTGCTGTTTTCTTAATATTCTTGGTAATTTTCATTCCAGTTTGGAGTCACTACATACAACATCTGAAGATATTCAACGGGAATAAGGAAAATTTTGCACTAAAAATCAATATTGGCACACATAAAATACACGATCCTTCCACCAAAATAAAAAGTATCTAAAAATTACTGGGATAAAACATGGCACTAGAGCAGAGATGTAATAAAATTTTTGTCTGAAAATTCAGTTGGGATTATGTGATCCCCAAAAATAGCATTAACCTTTCATTTAGTGTGCCAATGAAGAAAGATGAAGGGATGTGCTTATTTTTTTGGAAACTAGCCCAGTGTCCTAGGAGAGACATTACACAATAAATCATCATTAACAGGACTACAAAATAGGAAAAAGACAAGACAGATTTCTCTGAACTGTACTCCATGCCACAAGCATAAAGCTTGGTTTAAGGTGGGACTGTTCATTGATTCCTGTGAATGGAATTGGACTTTCAAGATATTGGCCATTAATTTCATGTTCACATTTCATTATCTTTTTTATTTCTATTGTTGGTGCCAAAGAGAGGAACATGCACAGTAAAAAAAATAAATTTTTGAATTTCCTTTTTATCTTTCACCTGAGAAAAGACACCAACTGCCTTTCTTTGGCACTACCGACGAACAAACAGCTGAAACCCCCTCAGACATTCAAAAATAAGAATGACATCTTTTTTTCCCCCTTTTTTCATTTTTAAAAAAGTCACCTTAAAAAAAAAACTGTTATTTTTAATGTTTGCCCTGGGCTGAAGTACCTGGTTTAATTAGAATGAACAGCCAGCAAGGAAGACCAGATGGCTCACGACAATTTGGAGCCCTATACATCACCCCATGCTTGCGTCACACTCTGTTCAAATCGTTTGCTTTTAGTGATAATGAGCTCGTAGTGGAGCTAGCTGTAAGAAGACACACAAGAGCTCTTCTGCTTCTAATGGGGAAAGAATTTGATATTAAACTTGAATTAAATGCCACAGCCTGGAGTGTAAATTTAGCCATAATTGAAACTCTCGGAGTCTGTTGTTTCTGATCATCTCTTCCTAACAAATTCAACATTTTGACATGTGCCTGGTCCTCTTCCTGTTTCTAAGTACAACACAGATATATTATGATTTGAGGAGCATTTAATTCCTTCAGTCACAAATGCCATGCAGAGGGGTTATGGCACATACTGAGATAATGTCTTTTGTTGGAGGTAAAAAAGATGATAAATTCCACAATATCACTCGAATGATGAGCACTTTGGAGAATTAGTTTAGGCACAAATCACTTTGGGTCCTATTTGTGGGCTTGTGTTTTTCATGCTGTTTTCACAACATGTTGAATGATCCATTTTAGTCACTCGTTTCATTTGGGTGGTATTCTTTATTCAATTTAACAATAATCTAAAGTCAAATTAGAAACAGTACCTTGCCTGGAACAAAGCCTGGCATCCATGTGGGATGCTCCCAGTCACTGTCAGACTTGTAATTGGGAAAGCCTTTTCCAAAGCACAAACCTTGCTTTTTAGGCATCTCAACTATTCACCCATCTTTTATACCATTCCTGGTTTTACATACAAGATGCAAGGTATTTACTTTTTTGACACACAAAGTTTAAATTTTTTCCCAATCTTTGTTTAGGTCTAGGCTCTGTCTATGTTGCCATCTGCCTTCACAGCAGATAAAACTACAGTTAGCGTAGATCTCAAAGTAAAAGTAGCGAGTATCATACGCCAGTTTACTTTGCATTCCTCCTAACATTTTAAATTTTCAAGTCAACTTGGGTAAACACCGGTAATCAGTTCTGGTGCCAAGTCAAGTTAATGGAGACCATGCAGGAGAAATTAAAGCAAATCACAGAAGAAGACAAGGTGATGTGCCAGAAGATTACTGAGAACAGAAGAGATAGCAAACTCTCACAGTGGCCCCCAGGTGGTGACTTCACTCAGGTGGGAGGGTGGACTATTTTCCCTTGGGACTGTTACATCTGACCTCACTCAGTCAACAATGAGGGGAGAATGGATGACTTGGGGGGAGGGGGGTTAAACAGTGTTTTATCCCCATGATGGTAAAAATAATCCATAGACAAATGGATTACAACTTCAACTATTTTTTTAACAAATTGCTATTTATTAATCCTTAAATTTAATTCCTGAGATAATTCTTGAGCAAAAGTAATCTTGATATAGAACCCCAGACGGGGGGCAAACCAATTGGACAGTGTTTAAATAAAATGTTGATGTGTCTTACCCTTGCTCTCTCTAACTGTTTCTGTTGGTGGGCAAATGCTGGCGGTGTTTTCAGTGCTAGAAAAAAAGGAAATGTGTTAATGAAAAGTAATTGAAAAAAGTCACCATAATACTTCTTAACAACTTGTGATTAATCAAATTACCTTTGAACAGTTTTATAAAGCAAATTCAAAAACTACAACAAGGAAAACATTTGTGTTATAAAACAAATCTTTTTTCAATGTGTTCTGCTTTATGACTTTCATTAGATTGTAAAGCTATTTTATAAGCAATTCCAAACCCCAAATCACATCTCCTGGTAAGTTTCATTAATTGATTCAAGGCAGACATAGGCCTAACCTGTCAAGTCAATTCACACTTCCTGCTTGAAAGGATTAAATAGCATTTAAAGAAAAAAATTAAAATGGGACACAGATGCCTTGGAAATTTAGATTATCAACTTTTCAACCAGGGGCGACAGACATATATTCATAAAGCACCATATCCTCCATCAATAACATTGGTGACCAGGGGAGAATAAACGGTCAGTGGAGCAAAGAAAGCCTGCTGAAAGACTTTTACAATGGTCAAACCCTCTGTTCATATAATTATACATGATGTTTGCCCCAACATGAACATTAATACCAACGACAAGACTGATGACTACAACCAAACAGTATCGATTCCTTTGGTCATGTTGCCAAATTTTCAAAAACTAATGTGCTACAAATGAATGTGCCATAATAATCTCTCTACCAGCCAGCCTGATATGGTAGGCCAGTAGATTGGATGAGACAACATGTCAACTGTCATCAGATCTTTATTGATCACTTTGCCGCAACATTTGATTTTCAAAAGACTCTTTAAAAACTTGTGTTAATGTGTCTGCAGTTTTTTTATTGGGTGTCTTTTTTGGTCTCTCCCTGCGTTGAAGTACCTTTATGTCCAGGCCACACGTCACTGGTGATTCTGGTTGAGAAGGAAGAGTTTTTCCAACAAAAGTTTGCACACCCCAAAGTAAATGTGGCGAGACTAATACAAGAGGTGCAAAATGCAGCAATCCCCCTTTAATGGCAACAGACCAGAAATTTGTACCAAAATACTTTCTTCCACATCTGCAAAACCTCTGGCTTCATAATTCTGCTGGGTTGATAAAGAACACAGTTTCTCCATTTAACATGGTCAATTTACAAAGACAGCCCTTGGTTTCAGCCTCAGCGTCAACAACATAAACACAGATTAATTCTGGGGAAGCAGAAGTGTGGCTGTGCTGTACAGCGATGAAATGGCTGACTTGCTCCCATTATACAAACATGGTGCTAGCCCCCCCCCTTCCCTCCTTTCTAGTATCACCAACCAGACATGCCCCAAGTGTGGAGAGTCGTGTGCCAGGCATCACACCAAAGTCTCCCCCTCCTGCCACGTTTACTAAACAAGATCCGTTGGTTGGCTTGTGCCTATGACTCTCTGTCTTGTCAGCAGCGCAAGCCTTTGTGATTTATTACTCAACTTTGCTGCAACATCTGTTGTTCTCTGCCTGTGAGGGAAAAGCAGGGAGAGCAGACAGAGTGCAATTTTACTGGTAATTTGCTTCAACAAATGAATAAATCCTATTAAATGAAACAATCTAAGCTTTTCACTGATTTGATAGTAAATCTTGTCTTTGTATGAAAACATGACTAGCAGCTCATCACTGCTCCAATCAAAGAATTCATATCTATTGCTTTACACAGTGTTGAGCGATTCCGTGTAAAATGGTGCCACTTCAGGTGAGACTATCTACATCCCTCCTGATTGCAGCATTCTGACATCAATAACTACAACATGATGATAAAATGGTGTGAAACATGCGGATGCTAGTGCCTTATCTTCGAGAATTACCTCAAGGGCCAGAGAGGCAGATCAGAATGGACATCCCACTTTGTTATTTACCACCTTCCAAATGATTGATAATGGCACAGGCTGTTCTGGACCAATTGTTCACCTGGTAACCAAGGCTAGCAGCATACTTACCCGACCACCGGGAATGCAGGAACCAGGACAGAAAATTTGCACGAAAAAGAATGCCAGGCAATGTAAACTTATACATAATGTCAAGATTCTATTGCAGCTCAAAGTATGACATTGAATAACTGATGATTTTTGATTTCCTATTTTTTTTTTCTCAAAGGCTATGGGATATGATATATGTATCAAGTATACATTTCAAGATGTTAGAATACAGGAAGACAGAGTACCCTATAATACAAGAAGAAAAACTCTGGGGAGTTTTTGGTATTTTTATTGTTAAGTTTATTTGGTACAAAGCTGAGAGCTTCCTTCGTAACTCATTACTTCAGTATCCTAAACCCAAGTCTACATGACAAAATGTCAAGAAAGTCAGAAAGAAAAAAGAATTTTGAAAGACATGTTTTTATAGGCAATGTGTTTTTACATGCTGTTGGTTACATGGCGTCAGTCACATTACCTGAGCTGCCCGCTAAAGCACATTCTTTTAAAGGTGCAGTCTCAAATGGAATTTCTCTTCTGAATATTCCCAAAGTCACTGGGTCAATATTTGACCATTTAGTCTTCCATAATTCTAAATCTGAATCAAACAGTTTTATCTAATGGGGTATAATTGGCCAAGAGCATGGCAGATCACTAGGGAAATCACATTATAAGTGTGTGAACAATTTGTTGATATCCCAGTATAAACTTATGGCCTATTTCCTAATGTCTATTGGAGATTCCAACAAGACTGAGGTTTATACAGTTTGATCAGGCCAAATAAACAGTGGTAAACTGGCCATGCCGCTGGACACTCATCCTCAGACTTTGTGGCAAGAAACCATGGAGTCAGCACACACGCATACACTCACATACATACACATTCAAACACAACCATGCCAGATTGCTTGTGGTTTTGTTTGTGTGGAGTTGGGATTACAACATGTTCAGATCATTGAGATAGCCTGTTGCCTGCCCACTTGGCTTCTGAAAACTTTCAAATTTACTATACTATACTACTACCACTGCCAAAACTACTACTACTACTACTACACTGCTTCTGCCATGCAGAACAGTTGCAGTTCTGGGAGAGATTCATTCACAGAACATGTTGTTGTCCACCCTGCCTGCTCTGGCCACCCTGTCTTTCCATTAAATGATTAATGCTTTCTCTATGTGTGAACTGTGCCTGTACATCCAACTGTATCCCAGGCCAGTGATACTGGACACCGCAACACTGCTCCCACCACCGCTCACTTTTATTCCCTTAATTTGTTCCCCAAAGTCTGAAGTTTACTAAAGCGAATCCAAAACACTGTCCAGCTGAAAACAATAAAGTTTCAGTGAAGAAAGAATATGGCAGAGCTGGTCAGTTGGTGCATCAAAATGCAGTCCTAGTTTAATTTAATTCAACAACACAACACTAAAAACCCAGAGCTGCCACAGAAACACTTAAAACTACAAGACACCAACAGTTAATACTGTAAATTGAATTTGGCCATCTTTGGCTGCTGCTTATTGGGGATCTGGCACAAAGTTTGATGACATCCTGTCCAAAGTTGAACTTATAGTGATTCTACCAAAATGACTTCATTTTTCTTACATAACAAAGTTCATGGTCAGTCCCAAATCCTTTCATATTTCTTTTCTCTTTCTGGTGATATTATTGGCAAAGTTGATCTATTCAAAGGACTTGACTGAGTAAACAAATTATTAGAAATCATCTGTTTGTGCCTTGGTTATCTCTTATCAGTCCTGACTATGGATAGCCAATACTGGGCAATGGTCAGTGGCCCCAGTATGCAATGATAGTCATACTTCACAGAGACTGCAGATGGCACAAAAATCACAAGCCTGTGGAATTATTCAATGGCCACCATGAAAATGGCTTTTGCTTCCTGGCCAGAAATCTAATGGTATTCATCTGCATCTTAAGCCTAGGTTTCCAAAGAGATCATTCTGACAATGGCAAGAAGGAACCAGCATGCACTGTCTTGTGACCAACCCCCAGCAGAACATACATGTAGCTGTGAACTAACTATCATGTCAGGGTTTAATTAGATTACAGCCAATGTTTTTCCTACTTCCATACTACACCCACATCTGCAAGATGATTCCAGCAATGGAGAGAGATCCACCTCCTTGCTGGCATTCCTGTGATTCAAACACATGGGTCAGTCACTATCTCAAGTATCCCCCAGATCTACAATATTTTATTGATGAAGATGACCAATGCTTCCTTCCCACTGCTGTGCTAGGTTAGGATGGGACACAGTGTGGAGGGACAAGGCAGCAGCTGATTAGCAGTGGTGATAATCCCAATCTTACACCCCATTCTCATAGATTAGATCGACCTACATTGGATCGACCTAACTCCCTGGGGGTTCACGCTAAATAGCTGTCAGCCGGGCGGACACGAAAGTTAATTACCCCTTAAAGCTTGTAGTAGGCGGGACGGTCACTTAAGGGGGATTATCTGACAGTAATCTAGTGAGACTCCCCGCGGTGATAGATCGATCTAAAAGTTGTGAGAACAGAGCCTTACATCATATTATGTCTCCACTGATTGCAATCCAGACAGCATCTGTGTGCCCATAATGAAAATTTTCTGAAGGGAAGCAGTCTGTTCTCATGAAAGTTAATTAGGGTCAGACTTTTCAGAGTCTGAAGGAGATATGCTTGGTGATATCTAAATTAGTGACTTTCACTGCCCCTTTCCTTGCTAGGCATAAAATGAAAATGGCATATGGGCAAGACTTCAGATTACACAAAAGGAATGAAACAAAATGGTTTGGATATTCTTTGTACAGATTTCACTGAAAATATATGCAGAAAAACATCACAGATAAGTAGACTGAAATGAGCCAAAATGGCAAGTGTACTCAAAGCAGGCATGCTTTACATGTCATACTTACAGGGATAAATTCCTTGTTCTACTAGTTCACTGATTGGTCTTCTAAGCATCAATTTCCTCTTCAGAGCTTAAATTAAAGAAGACAAAGATCAGAACAATAATACCAATCAACTGTTGATTCAAGTGTTCCATTCAGTTGCAAACCATGTACCTCTTGACTATTGTGTGATACATAGTGATAGATTGAGAAGAAAGTGCTCCAAGGATATTAACTAATTACTGTCCCCAGGGCTATTGTTCTCCCCAGTTACAAATTTTGTAAAGAGACCAAAAACAAGTTGACAAATCCATTCCTTCTTTCTTTACATATGGTATTCATTCACTCACCCTAAAAACAAGCATAGGAAATTAATGAAAAAACATCTACTACTTCTTTCTGAACATCTGTCCTTCATCCACTCATCCCAATGACCCTCCTCAATCAGTATGTTAACTGTCTATCTCTTCTCCCTGTATCTGTACCAAGTTACTTACCACGAGAATCATAGCACAAGAAAAGCCTATATATTCCATACTTCTAAAAGATTTTGGCACAGGCCTTTTCTTTTACAATTACATTTGACTTTGCCACATCCAAGTGCAGTATTAATTGGAACAAGGGGCATCTGGTGACACCTCTGTAGCAGTTAAATGGGCTGATTTATTAACCACAAGAGTTAATTCAACCTTTTAGGCTTAGAGGATAACACTCAGTCTAAACAGGAAACTAAGCTTGCCTGGCCCTCGGCATAGTGTTATGATGTCAATCTCTCCTCTACTTTGTTAAAAAAAAAGACATCTGATAACAAATCTTGTCATTTAACTTTTTAAACACTGGCACTCGCAGATCACATTAAGATAATTTGACCATGAGTGTCAAACATGACCACTCCATTTTTATTGGATAATGTAGGCGCATGCGAACATGAAGCCTTTAAATACCACTAAGACAATTAAATGAGCAGTCTTTGTAGAATTCATATTAGGTGAGCAACTGCAGTCAATTTTCCACAGCTCTTGTTGAACTATCTTATACAATTAAATACTCCAGTGGACATAAGTTTTTTTTAAAAAACCAAAAGGTTCTCAAGAATCCTTTTTTTTTTTTTTTTTGAGGGGGGGGGGAGCATTCATTTGCACATGTGTGCACATTAGTATATAAAACTGAAAATCATAACTGTTATTTCTGGGTATACATTTAGTCAATTATACACAATACATTCAGTTTCTCATTCGACTGATACCACAACATTAAAATAACGATTTCTACAACCCATATGGACCTAGTTAAATTCTGGTTTTGATTTCAAAGTTGTCATCAAGGTAATTCATCCATAAAAAACCTGAGGGTAATAAAAAAAAAAGAAAAAATAAATAAATAAGTGCTTCTAAAAAGTTTGGGCAAGAAATGGAGAAAACATCCTTTTCAATGCTTCACTTGTATAATGCTGTGAAATAAACCTAGATAAAATGACATCGGTGTTATGGGTGCTTAGGTAACATACCTAACCTTTTCAGATGGGGCACATCCTGCTTCAATGCAATTTCCAATGCCAGTAAACCTTTCTCATTAAAATTCAGAATGTGTGACTAAGGTAGAGGCATTTGTTACCTCTACAGGAACTGACAGATTTATACATCACTATCACACTCAGCATTTCCATACAACACTCCAGAGAAACTAGAGGAAGTCTAATAATGACCATTACGTGTAGGAGAAACTAGCATCATAACCATCATTATTATCATACTATTCAAACATCTAAGTCAAATATTTTAAAACTGTTTCTACTGTGATTATTAGTGGATGGCAATTTGAGCAGCATAATCATTACAATATTATGAATATCATGTAGTGTTATTAGTAAATAAATAGACTAGAATTACGTTATAATGCATAATGGCATCCAGGAAAACATTAAACCAAAATATAAACAGACAACAAAAGCTTTAAAATTGAAGTACTCACTCTCTTTATTCTTATCCATAGACTGTTGCAGGGAATATTCCTCTAAGGAGTTTTGGGGGCTTGTTGGAGATTGCTGCTGTTGTTGCTGCGTTGTTTGCTGTTGATTTTGTTGCATTTGCTGTCGTTCCTTCTCCTTCTGTTCATGCTCCATCCTGCAGTCTTTGCAATAGAATTTATGAATGTACTGGATAGCTTCAGTGTCTATACGGGCTCCTCCATAAAAAGGGGACCAGGGCACATTGGAAGAATCTGTAACAATACAGTTGTACAAAGGGTTCATTAACTCACTGAGTTTTGCAAGCTCAGCTTCCACGGCCGTTGCAGCCATGACTGTGTTCCAATGCAATCTCTCCTCTTCCTTCCTTTACTCTTCACATAAATGACTGTAGTGTCAGGCAGCCAGCTATAAAAACAGCAGCAAGGAAGATTAGTTTATAATCAGGAGTGAGGCTACATAAATAATTAGTGCCACATGTTGGATCCCTCAGCCACACGCCAAACAGATAGAATCACCAGTCAGAAACCAGCATGCTCGGCATTATTGTCAGGTAAGATTTGACTTTCACCCAATCACAGTTCACGGTAACTGCCTGGCACACTTGGGGGAGGAGCTAATGGAGAATCAGAACTGACCAATGACCAAACTTTTAAACAACACTGCAGGACATCTGGTCCGCAAGGAAATTAGCAAGTTAGTAAAAAGTTGTTTTTCTCTTCACAATCTCGACAAAATCTCCTGAAAACTGCTGCGGGTTGAAGTAATCAGGCGACAGAAATGCAGTTCCCTATCCTGTATAATTGCATGCATACAGCGAAGTGTGCTTTGTGTCAGCTTGACTTGAGCCGGAGAGTGCCAGGCACGTGCTGGAAAAGAATTGTGGTTTCCAAAGAGTCAAAGACTGCTGATACATGTCCCAGCAAAGCGCCCGAGTTCAGTTCTATACATCAGTCACACATTTTCTTAGAGTCTACACATCTTATATATCTCTACACTTTTCTTGTTATATGCCACTTGATTTGGATGCCAAATCCTGACTGAATTTATTCTGTCATTAGCACTGTATTGTATTTATATTATATTGTGTGTTGGATCATAGACTTAATCTGGGATTTGTTTTGAAGTAATTGAGCCAGTTTTAAAAAAATCTGGCTACAGTGAACAAAATCAAAGCAATGGCCTTATCTAAAAATATCTAATCAAACTGTGCAACACCCGCTTCGGCTTATCTGAAGTGTACCGACAGTTTCAGGGGTAGGCCACACCCATTTATGACATAAGCACCAATTTTTTATTTGACATCAATAGAGCATGCGCTTTCCCTTCATGTTTCAAAATGAGATAAAATTTAAGAAAGAAAATATATATCACAACACGTCCCCTAAAAATTCCTACATCCACAAATTAAATCACCACCCCATAAATATAGTCGTCCTGACGAAATTTTTGAGGATGAACAAGCAATAAATACATATTATAAGATACGTTTGACAAGTACCTGCCCATTTTTCCACAGCCACATGCTCATTTATTATTAAGTTTAGGACAGGCTTATTACCTGTCAACAGAAAACAATAAATACCCATAGAGAATACTTTAGGATTCACAATATGACAGGGAACAGGTGCTGTTGATTACAAAGCACCTTGCCCTGTTAACCCAGACAGCACTGGGCACTGCTGGGAGCAAATCCTAACTACTTGCGGGGGATTTCACTGGATGTAGTTTACATAGTTAAGTCATTTCTTAAAATTTTCTTTATGCCTTACACCCAGAAAGTGGGACAGTTAATGGCAAAGAACTTGAAATCACCTCTGGCCTTTTGGAGTTCTACCTTCACCCAGAAGATGTAACTTCTGGATACATTTTAAATGACATTAAACCTTATCTTTAAAAGTATTGAAAAACTATTGGATTGAAATAGCTCCTAATTGATGTCCAGTGTGGCATGCTTTGTTCAAGTAGCATTTTATTGGTTGGTTTAAGCCCTTTTGCATTAATAGCTGGTTAGGCTGTCAATCTGAGTTTCAGGGCTAATTACTTCACTGATCATGACCAGAACCTTCACCTCAGATGACCAATAGTCGAAACTAGACTATGGTCAAGAATGGACACTGGTCAAGACTTCCAGTGGAAAAAGGCTCCCAAGGCACACAGTGCATGCTGCTTTTTCTGAAGGTGGAAAGTTAACACCAAGGAACTGTTCACATACTCCATACCAAGTGGCAATAAGAAGAAAATCAAATTCCAGATGTCTTCTACCATCCATCTTGACAATGCTGAGTGAACCACAGCCAAATTGTGCAACCCAGAAAACAGGATTATGTTATTTAAGTTCCACTACAGTATACCTAGAACATACTACACATTTCTTGGTAGGAACTTCAGATTTTTGTTACATCAATGGAATTTACAAAAAACATCTTGCATTTAAAATCTTGTTGGTAGGTTAATTCAGCTATGTTGCTTAAAAAAGGGGGTCTTTCAGATAAGTGAAGAAATAAAGCATATTGAGGACACAGTTAAGAAAAAAAAAAAAAGAAACTTAGCGGCACATGGCAGATAAAAGGGAAATTTTCTACAAAAAAACAATGATCATTTTGAACCTTTTCCATCCATAAAAGATGTTCTCATGCTTTTACATTTTGTTGGCTAGTAAGAGTTTCCAGATTCATTAATTGTACTCATGCAATAAATGAACACTTATAGCACAGAAAGGGCAAGACTTCTGGGATGAAAAAAAATGCTCTGCTTTTATTGTGAAGCAGACCTCAAAAACTTTTCATTTAATATTTATCTTCTAAACATATTCGTGAAAGTATGCATTTGTAATTAATTAGAGTACAGAAGTTACAGGGATATATATTAATATATTTGCTATATAACTGTTTTTATTGAAAAGACAATCACCCTTCCAAAAGAAAAAAAAAAAAGAAAAAAAAACATTTTCAAAGGTAAAAAAAAAATGATTGTTAGGACATCCTTTTAACTATCAGCAAATGGTTACCAAGGATAAACCTGGGGGGTCTGTTTAGTCCAATTTAGCTGACCTAACTTTCCAATTTCAGTTCAAATTGGTTCCACTAAAGAAAGCTGACCTACAATCAATAGATAATTCAGTCCAACATCTCATTCTCCTGTCTGTCTTCGTGACCTGTCAATTGAATTCATTTCTAACACCATCAGTCATATGCTCGACTTCACAACCAATAGATAGGAAATCATTGGAATCTTTGATCTCTGTAACCTTTTTGTTTGCTTTTTCCAATTTCTTCAGGACGTGTTATGCCAGCAAGTCTACTGTCTACCTGTTGAATTTGAAAATAGCCCAATAAAGCAAATCCTGCCATGCAGTGCTATGATGATAGAAATGATAAAACAGTTGACAAAAGTGAAACAGTGTTTTGAAGTTGTCTCTGAGCAAAAGATTAGATCTAAAGTAAAGATCTGTAATCATAAAGCAAAGATCTGAACCCATGTTGCCATTGGTAATTGGTAGCAAACACAATCTGAATCTCTTCCAGGGACTGGGCCTATTTCACCAAAAACCCAGCCCCAGCATAGTTACTAAAACAAGAACATCCTCATCCATGGCATAAAGCAACACATAGGGCCTACAAGACATGGATAAGCATGTGTTCTTGAAGAAATCCATCAGCCAACATACTCTGTCAATCACTGTCCAAAGTTCAGAGTACTCCTCTGAGGAACACAGGACTGTCAGATTGACTTATGCAAGCAGAATAACAGCCAGCAATTATTGCTCTATTTGTAGATTCAACAAAATTCATAGACCTCCAGTCTTGCAATCTGCCTGTGTGTTTGTTGCTTTGGAGGCGCAGGACTATTCGGCACATGACATGCTTAACTTTCTCCGCACACAAATGCCACACCAAACCGCAAAGTCAATACTTTCTAACAAAAAGGGAAATGGGTAAATATCAAAATTCATACATGTTATGTAATTCAACGGAAGTATCAAGCAATTTCCCTTGTTATGGTATGGTTTTCATTTTATGAATCCCAAGTCTCACAGGGATTAAAAAATTTAAACTGTTATTTTTTTCCAGAAATATGCCACACTGACAGCATACCAAGTTCAAACAATCTTCACGAACATAAAAAAAATTCTGTAACAAAAGACATGTTTATTTTGTTTCAAGTGTTGAAAGGAATTATCGTCCCTTTGTACTATTAGGGTCATTCAAGTTTGCTAGTTTTTTTTTTCTTATTCACATTACATAAACTTGTAATTTTTTCCAGTTGTGCATGTAGGGAGAGACGCCTTGCAAACACTTGTATCCAAACCATTTCTCATGATATTTTGTACTGTACACCCCCTTGGGGCAAGCATTTTATCTAATAACCTGCTAGAAAAATCTGTTAAAGATCTCTATTGAGTGCTTTAAGAGATCACAAAATCAAGATGTATGAAAGATAAATGATACTCTTTTACAAGCACCACTAGCGTTGTTGCACTATCAAAAATCGGAATCAATTATGATTCACCCTAAATCCTGAAAATCGAATACTTCTTGCAAAAACTTCAGATGAAACCCAAAGGGTAAATTAGTGAAGTCAAAAAAAAAAAAAAAAAAAAAAAAAAACTTGGAAATTAAACTAGCACTTCAATGACCCTTCAGACTTCCACTGGGTTTCACACACACATACTCCAGACACATGCTTGGAAACCATTGCTTGTCACAGAGATCAACAGCAAAGTTAGAATAACATGGAGGATGCTTTGAATTGTCTGCAGCAACTGCTCCAGTGTACAAAACTATGGCCACAAAGGGGTCCAGTTGTCTGCCACATGGTGGGGCACACATGGGGAGCCATTGTTTGCAACATGGGTACAGAACTCATGCAAACATTATACAACCAAATGGAAGAATGATAACAATGCAAGATGACCACAACCAGAGACAGAGTTTCAAATTGCCAACATCTTGTAGGTCTTGGACCAACTGGTTCTGCGCATTTTTCTGGGGCTTTAAACAAAGCTGCAAATACTGACTAGATACGTCATTTTATTGTATTCTGGAAAATGACAATATTGCATCACTGGTGATCATCTCTATTATGTTAAAGGTCACTGCAATGGCCACTTATTCTATTTCCATCTCACCACTAGCTCCCTGCTGCATCTGGTGGGTCTCCCTGCTGCAGAATATATATAGAATATAAAGGCCCATCAAGCAGGCTGGGTTGATGTATCAGTACCAAGTGGCAAACGACAGGTGCCCAACTT